CCAAATCGATTCAGAAATGCAATGAACGAGGACATCGTCAAGGACGTGCTCGATCTCCTGCAGAACAACAACGTGCACCTCGCAGAACCTGTACAGAGCGAGGTCAAAAGCTTACTAGTTCGACACGCCAAGAACACCGAAGGATACAAGAGAGGTCGGGACGTCAGCCGTAGCACAGTCAAGGCAAAAGAAGCGAAGATTACGGAGCTGACATATCGCATCAACACACTTGAAGCCGAGCTTGAAGCGGAAAAGGCCATGGTCAAACATCTTCAGTGGGAGGCACAACACGAGTCGGACACCTGATCGCCTCGAAGTGCACGATCCCAACATTCGGCTTGGGCTCCACACATCAATCACAACAAGTTTGCAGGTTTCGTCGGTGTACTACACGAGTAGAGCACCTCGCCCAACGCCTATGATATCACTGAAAAGGCCCACCCCCAGATAATACACTGCATGTGTTACCGAAGTGGTGGGCTGCCCCACTGTTCCCGGCGTGCTGCGAAGCATGGCTCACCACACTTGCATCCTACGCGCAGCCAACGCGTCCGACGCGGATCGGATGGTACGCCTGAAGTCGGCTATATCGGCTATCGCAAGGGACTGTCGGGCTTTGCCACAGTTGTCTGTTCACGAAAGCACGTTGGATGAAGGGACTCACTCTTTCCCCATGCGATGGTTCCTGAGCACGCCATCAGAGGTCGCGATTCTTCATAAGCACTCGGATTGCTTGAATGGTAAGCGCGAATCAATGCGGAAGAAGGAGCGATCGTGACGTGACAGCTGCGGCGGAACCGAGCTACGCCCAGCATTGGCACGCGGAACTCGGCAGGTAGACAGAATATGATTTGTCGGAATCTTTTCGACCCCAACCCTCTTACGTACGCCAGGCCTTTGCCGATGAGCTTTTCTCCACACCCTCCCCGGCGGAAGCTTGGCAATCAACGGCGGCCCCCGCCGAGCCACTGGAAACCATGTTCTTGTCCCATGAGGTTTTGTGAATTGCGAGCAAGAAAACCCATCTTGCAGGAAAAGCTTGTTTTGTGTCATGGCGATTGTTAACGTCGGGGTTGCCGTAGTCGTACCCCCGGTGTAGGATCGGGTGGGTCAACCATGCGATGTGAACTGGGAAATGCAGGGAAATCGCAACCCATTACCAACAGCAACCGAACGTGGGTTTGAAGAGACTGGTACGATCTTGGCGGACGTAGTGGGGCGTTTGCTCTGAACGGAATACAAAAGTACTTCACTTCTCACATGTAATGGCTAGGGCCGCCCACATTTCACAGTCTCCCGAAGAAAGGTCGATTTGGGATCGTTGCTCCCGATACTTCCGATTTGTTGAGGCCCGGCCTTCTACACCTCACTTCAACTCTCGCAAGATAGCTGTTCATACAAGATGGCGATGCGATACCTGCGAAAGATAGGCAGCTATTTGGCGCCTCAAGCCTCGAAAAGCGAAGATGGCCGTGACCAGTGGCCCTCGAGAGCAGCCTTTCTGCTCGCTGCCATGGGCGGCTGCGCAGGACAAGGAAACCTGCTCAGATACCCGAGTGTGCTGTACAACAACTATGGCCTACAATGGTTCATTCCATATCTTCTGGCAGTCTTCCTCATTGCTATTCCGGCGCTCATCCTAGAAGTGTCAATCGGTCAAGCGTACCGTGGTGGTACCGTCATTGCCTGTAAGACAGCTCATGTGTCGATTACGTATGGAATACCAACTAACCATCTGCCGCTAGTCAACAACATAAACCGTCGTCTCAAAGGAGTCGGTATGGGGCCTGTTATCGTCAGTTTCCTTGTCGTCCAGTACTTTACTGTGAACTTGGCATGGTATGCAGTGTCTCCAAACAATATTGACGTCTGGCCTGTACTTACTTTGTCACCAGGATTATGAGATACTTCCAAGAAAGTTTCACGAGTCCGTTGCCATGGGAAGGCCGCATCGAGGACTTCTACTACAAAGACGTTCTTCAGCGCGGAGCAATCAACGAGGGAAGCCTAACGCCGGATGGCAATTCCGTAGCTTCATTCACCGGTTATCCCAACGGAGCTCTGATCGGCTCAACTGTAGGCTGGAGTATCTTTGTATGGTTCTTGATCTGGATATCCATCTTCCGTGGAGTCGGCATGACCGGTCGCGTCGTATACTTCACCATGGGACTACCCATCGTCACCACCATCATCTTCGTTGGCCGAGCGCTGTCTCTCCCCAATGCGAGTGAAGGTGTTGCTCTTGTTTGGAGAACTTGGAGGAGCGACCAACTCGCCTCGGGAGTCGTGTGGCAGACAGCTGTTGGCCAAGTCTTCTTCTCCACCGGTATCGGCTTCGGATACTTCACGTCGTACGCCAGTTACAACACAAAACACGCCAACGCCGTAATGGACGCTTGTCTTATTTGTGGTAGCAACGTTCTTTTCGAAAACTTCGCTGCATTCGCCGTCTTTGGCGTTGTAGGCTTTCTCGAAAGGTGGCCACAGGACGGTGAGCGACTCGGCGCCTTCGTTGTAGGTTTCTTGACACTTCCTGAGGCAGTGCTACAAATGCCTGGAGCAAATTTCTGGGCAGTGCTCTTGTTCTTCACGCTCATTGTGCTCGGATTTAGTTCGGCTTTTGTCATGCTTGACGTTGTCGTCACGCTTATTTGCGATTCTGGCATGGTCAAGGCTTCGAGACCTGTCGTGGTTACTGGGCTGACCGTTCTCTCATTTTTGATGTAAGTGATGCTGCCCAGCTACTTATAAGAACTGCTCGCTGACTTTGGCAATTTAGGTGTCTTCCATATTGCACGGAGTTCGGCTACTACCTCCTCGATGGTATTGATCGCTGGGTTAACAACGTCGCTCTAATCTTTGTCGTCTGGAGCGAGGTTTCCAGCGCTACGACCGTGTACCGATGGAGAGACATCGTTGAGGAAACCGGCCTGCCCGCCTTTGTCATATACAATGTTGGTTTCTTCGGCGGCCAAGTCTTTGGTATTAGTCTTGCACATGGCATCAGCCGACCTGGAGCAGGCGCCGGTGCTGGTATCGGTTTCTACTTCCTTATGGCCGTAATTGCTGTTTTCGTGGCAAAGGCTCCCGCCGCACGAGCGCCGTCTTTCTGGAACGGGAATGCTTTCATTCGGAAGTTCTGGTTCCTCGCCTTCTATTCGGTAAGTCGCAACAACTGAACCACTCTGGTACTCCAGTCAACTAACAAATACGGCAGGGTAACCAACTCCGTCGCGACCTGAACGTCATCGTTGGCCAGGGCAAGAACTGGACGATACCAGCCTTCATGCCATTCCTTCTCCGTTATCTCAGTGGACCCGTCCTCGCCATCATCTTCTCCTTCGCTTTCCCCGAATTCCACACTCTACGGTACGATCCAATGATGATTGCCGGATTCATCTTGTCCATAATCACTATAATCGTTATCCTGCTCGGCTTCATAATGCCACGATACTACGATGCTTTCATTCCTACGGAACGCCGTTACGAAGGAACCGAGCCGACGGCACCGATGGAAACCAAGGGTGAACTAGCTGGCAGGCCCATTGCTGAGGTGGCAAGCGCTGAGCAAGGACACGGCGTCATGAGGGACTCGTCATCAGGGCAAGAGATGGATGCTCACAAGCATACCAACCCACCACCGTACACACCCAAAGGGCACATCAAGACGACCGGATCGAAAAAGACCACAGCTGGGATCTAGGTGCCAATTTCCTTCTCACGGGAGCCCGATAGATGGGCCTTAGGCGGCGCTGGCAGCGCCGCATTTTCTTGTTTCTTTAGATGGTGACTTCCTTTTAGCGCAGTATTTGCGACATCTGTGGAAAGCAACCGTCATATATGCTGAGAGCCCAATGCCCAGAGCCCAGATTATGCCAAAGCAACTCGACTCTGCTGTCTACGGCACACCCAATGCGACTTTGCCGACCCAAGCCCTGATTCTATTGCCCTCAGTACTGGAGTACTGCTGAAACGCTCTTGCTGAACATTACAAGATCTATCGTGCTTTTTGAGTGACTCCGTCTTCTATACTAATCATCATCTGGAAATTTTGCGCCTAGGATTTGGAGATCAAGAGACGTGCCTGCGGAAGATCGGGCTTCTAGCGCGGTGTCCACAGATTCTGAACTGCTGTTAACACGGCCGGAGTTCAGATGAAGACCCACTCGCTCGCAGAGTCTTTGCGCTTGCCTACACACGCCTGTTAGAGTATAACCCGCTTGGGAAATAATTTCGCAAGACGCACAGCTCTCCTTCTGGATGGCCCGTACCGGTATTGGTCCTCCGCAATCACGATGCCGCCCTTCCGCGTGATACACTGCATAGGGCTGTCGGTATTTCCAGATTGCTATCCATATATCTAGATGAAGACATATGCATGTCGGGAGCCAAAGGTGGACGAATCCGGGGCAAGCGAGAAGCTTGTTTTCACGTGGCTGCAGATCCGCTGACGCCAGTGCGGCATAAGCCAAGCCAGCACGCAGACAAAGAAGAGTGCCTGAAGTGAGATTCCTTCTACATACACGCAATGCTGCATGCACATGTTTGCGCAAGGGTTTATTTGCCAACGATGCGGCCCGGCGAGTCAGACGGGTGGCCTGCCACTGCGCAGTTTGTGCGGAGACCCACTCAACCTCGCTCGTGGCAACTGCGCGACTTGTGCGGCCGCCACTGTCACGTTTTTGGACGATGAATCAGAAATGTAGGTAGCAATGACACATTTCGCAGAAAAGGCTCGAAAATTCGGGTTTCACTTATATCTGAAGGTTCCAGTATCGTGTTGTGTTTCCTTGAACGTTCCTTCCTTCGTCCACGCCCAGTCGCTTCCTTGATTGCTTTGATTGCGCGACGACAGCCGTTGGCTACTACCCCGGAACCAGCGCCCACTGACATCTATCAATCATCGCCTGAGCAAGAGAGTCATCCACCCGATTGATTGAGGAGTACCGACATTGTCGATATTACACAGCCAAGGTCACCCCGAACGCGAACCAGTCACCATGTCTCCCGCTGCGCCGTTACCCAGATTGCGCGATCCTGCGGTGAACGGCACCACAACGACGACATGCTTTATTTCTAATCTCCACTGCCCGTCATGTGTGGACGGTATCCAAGCCTCTCTCACCGCGCTCTCACCGCCGCCACAAGACGTATTCGTCTCCATCGTTTCACATTCAGTGGTTGTACGCCACGCCGCTTCTCTCAACCTTGACGACATCACCGTCTCGCTAGAGGCTGCGGGATTCGAGATACACAGCGTGTTTCAAGACATCAAGGCTGTCCGGAGTCCGATCGAGGTTAAGAACCCCGAGGGTAAGAGCAAGGAGTGGCACACTAGCTTTGAGCGCGCCGTCAATCACTGGCTACATCCTGCTGCCGACCTTGAAGACTCACACGACGACATGAAGAAGAAAGAAACTCACCTAGCTCAGTGCGAGCAGTGCAAGAGAGAAGGTGGTGGGGTTAGCTTGCACGGTGACGAGTTGCTGCGATTCAAGCCTGCGCCTATCGTCACGACTTCACCCAGAGGTAGCTCCGATGGCTTCTCGTCGCCTGAACCAAAGTCGCCTTTATCCGAGACATTCGTTGCTGTTGACTCACCTGCGGCCCCACAAGTCTACAAAGCAACGCTGTCTATTACCGGCATGACGTGCAGCTCATGCGTCTCTGCCATTACCCACGCGGTCCAGGAACAGCCATGGGTTCAGTCAGTCAATGTCAATCTCTTGACTAACAGCGGAGTGATAGTCTTTAGTGGCAAAGCGAAGTGCGAGGAGCTTGTCGAGACGATCGAAGATTGTGGGTTCGATGTCGCAGTGGAGAAGCTCGAGGAGGTGCAGACCACATCGCCCGGAGCTGTAGCCGCGTCGAAGCAACAGAGCGAGCGGTGGCGCGCAACATATTCTCTCGGAGGTCTGACATGCTCCGCCTGTGTCGGAAACGTCAACCAGGCGCTACGGCCTTTGACCTGGATTGAGAAGGTCGATATCAATCTTATCTCGAATAGTGCGACCATCGTATTCAGAGGCAAGGAACATCTGCCAGAGATCAAGGAAAGTATCGAGGATGTCGGGTACACCGCTACCCTCGATCGAGTTGTTCAAGAAGGGACCACAGTGACCGACACCATCGAGCGTTCCGTCGGGATTCGCATAGAGGGTATGTTCTGCCACCACTGCCCAGACAACATTACCCGAGGATTACAAGAAGCGTTTGAGAACGAGCGCAGTTTTGTAATCGACTCTCCATCACTATCGCTCGAGCAACCCATTCTACATGTCAGATATGTACCGGACCCTCCTCGCTTCACGATCCGAAAGATCTTTTCGACGATCAAGAGCCTCAACCCAGTGTTCCAGCCTTCGGTCTTCCACCCTCCGACACTGGAAGAGCGCGCGCGCGAGATGCATGCGGAAGAGCGGAAACGTATTCTGATCCGCCTCATTCTATGCATCATCACCGCGATTCCGACGTTCGTTCTCGGCATCGTCTTCATGAGCTTGATTAGCTCCAAAGACCCCATACGCACATACCTCATGGGCAAGATGTGGGCCGGCAACGTCACTCGATTAAGCTGGGCACTATTCTTCCTCGCTACGCCTATCTACTTCCTCGCCGCTGATACATTCCATCGGCGTGCACTGAAAGAGCTGAGATCAATGTGGCGACCAGGAAGCCGCACCCCATATCTGCACCGCTTTACCCGCTTCGGCAGCATGAACATGCTCATCTCACTCGGTACGACAATCGCATACCTGGCATCAATCGTAGAGCTCATCTTGGCTGCCACGAAGAAGTCTTCTGGTTCCATGAACGACTCTTACTTTGATGCAGTAGTCTTCCTGACGATGTTCTTACTTATCGGCCGTTTCTTGGAAGCTTATAGCAAAGCCAAGACTGGCGATGCTGTCACCTCGCTTGGAAAGCTTCGACCAAACGAGGCTGTTCTTGTCGACGCAGAAAAAGGCGACACTAAGATCGCGACTGATCTTCTCGAGGTCGGTGATGTCGTTCGAGTCCACAATGGCACTTCGCCACCGTTCGATGGAGATATTATTGAAGGCAGCACTAGCTTTGATGAGTCTAGCTTGACTGGCGAGTCGCGTCCGGTCAAGAAGACCGAGGGTGATACTGTGTTCTCCGGTACAGTAAACAAAGGTTCACCCGTCAAGATCAAGGTTACGACAGTATCGGGTACTTCCATGTTGGATCAGATAATCCATGCTGTGCGTGAAGGGCAGTCACATCGCGCACCGGTCGAACGCGTCGCTGATACTATCACTTCGCATTTTGTACCTTTTGTCATCGCCGCTGCCATCGTCACCTGGCTTGTCTGGCTCATCCTCGGTACTACTGGTGCGATACCGAACGACTGGAAGAATGAATCTGCTGGCGGTTGGGAGCTTTGGTCTCTTCGCTTTGCTATTGCCGTCTTTGTCATCGCTTGTCCTTGCGGTATCGGACTAGCCGCACCCACTGCGCTCTTTGTGGGAGGTGGACTGGCCGCCAAACATGGTATCCTGGTCCGCGGTGGTGGTGAAGCTTTCCAAGAAGCCAGTTCACTCGACTGCATCGTCTTTGACAAGACTGGCACCTTGACACAGGGTGGCGATCCAGCAGTAACGAACCACAAGTTCTCTAATGATCAGAACGCTGCAATCGTGTTGGGTATTGTCAAGGCATTGGAAGAGAACAGCAATCATCCTATCGCTCGAGCGCTAGTCTCTTTCTGTAGCAAGGAGACCCACAATACACCTACAGCAGTCAACGTTGATGAGGTGCCTGGCAAGGGTCTCAAGGGCACTTTCAGGGTCGATGGACAAGACATCGTGGCGATCATCGGTAATGAAAGCTTCATGGCTGACCATAACGTCCCTATCCTCGCCGCCGATGCGTCATCCCTGCAGAAGTGGAAGTCGCAGGGAGATTCGGTCGCTTTAGTCGCCTTGTTTCTACCACGAACCGGTGAGCAAAGTGTGGCAGAGCAGTCCGAGCCATCCAACACGTCGGAGGCCCTGTCACTCGCCGTCACTGAAATTCAACCTGCGTCATCCTGGCGACTCGCGTGTACCTTCTCCATCGCGGATCCACTTCGCCCCGAGGCACCAGGCGTCATATCAGCCCTACACGCACGCGGCATAGACGTTTGGATGCTATCTGGTGACAACCCAACTACAGCCAACGCTGTAGGCGCGCAAGTCGGCATCCCAACTTCCAACATCATTGCCGGCGTCCTCCCAGACCAGAAAGCCGAGAAGATTAAGTACCTTCAGCAGACCCTCACCAAGCCACACAAGTCTGTATTCAACATCCCCTTCCTATCCCAAAGAGACAAGAAGCAAAAACGCGCAACTGTCGCCATGGTAGGTGACGGCATCAACGACGCACCCGCTCTCTCCACCGCCGACCTCAGTATAGCAATCGGCTCCGGTTCCGACATCGCCCTCTCGTCTTCCTCCTTCATCCTCATCAACTCCCGCCTAACAACTATCCTCACCCTTCTCGATCTCTCCCGCGTCGTCTTCCGTCGCGTATACTTCAATTTCGGATGGGCGCTCATCTACAACCTCGTCGCCATGCCCATCGCCGCAGGCGTTTTGTTTCCCATCACCACCGGAGGCAAACAGATGGACATGCACCATAACGGTGTTGGCATGGAAGGCGGTATGGCGATGGAGGATACGGGGAGGAAGCATATCAGGCTTGATCCTGTCTGGGCTAGTTTGGCGATGGCGTTGAGTAGTGTGTCTGTGGTTTGTAGTAGTTTGGCGTTGAGGAGTAGGGTGCCTGGTGTGGGGTTTAGGGTTGAGGGAGGAAAGGAGGGCAGGGAGGGCACGGTGGATGGTGTGGAGAAGCAGAAAGTGGGGGATCAGGAGATGGTTTAGGGAGTAGTCAATTAGCTGGTGGTATGGTGTGGTAATGGTATCCCTATTCCGACGAATTCTCCAATAGCTATTCAACATCCTCAATCGCACTGCCGTTCAACCTCTCCCAACTCCAATGCTATTCCTCTGCCAAACTCGGCAATCCTCTATCCGCAATTTCGAGACTCAAGTTCTTTTCTACCACTGCCCAACCCTCTCCCGCCTTGTACTTCTTCCGTCTTCCAACACTAATCTTCACATCCGCTTCACCCGTCTTATGCATTGCATAAGTCGTCTTCCATTGCCTCTCAGCAAGGATACGGCGCCGAGGATCCCAATAATCCTGAAGAAAAGGAGAAGCCTTGTAATACCAAGGCACTTCCTCGCTCTCTCGCTTTTCTTGTGGTGGTACTGCAGGATACCAATATTCCTGGGGCTGGCAAAGCCACTTCGGAGCCCTATACCAGAAGTGAGGATCGGGTATTATGATTGGAAGAGATGTCTCTTCAGTGTTGTACTCATCCTCGTCATCGGCATCGTACGCTGTGTCTGATACCTCCTCCCTTTTTGCGACTTTTGAAACATGTCTCTGTTCATGTGTATGTTCGTAATTGTCCTCATTTTTAACGTTGTCTTCATCTTCGCTTGGCGAGCGTTTCCGCTTCGATGCAATAGTGAAGGAGCGGATTGGTGTGGCGAAGAGGAGGGAGGGGGAGGCGGGGGAGTTCTCACGAACTTGTTGTACTTTAATCTCCCAAGCGCATGTTGAGCGTGGGCTTGGAATTGGGTTTTTGGTGGATGGAGGGAAGATTGGTGCTTGCTTTGGTGCCATTTTTGTGGTTGCGTGTGTGGGTGAAGGTAAGGGGATGATGGGAGGTTTGTTGAATGGGTTGGATGGGCTTTGTAGAACTGCTAGAGTTGAGAGAGTTATCATGTAAAAGGTATGTGGGCTTTCTATTCGAAAAGCCATGACTGTGCCTATGATTTATCTGGTTCATTACTCTTAAAGAACGGAGAACCAGTCTGGGGGCTACATGGTGACCGGAAAGGTCTGCATCAGCCTAAAGTAGAGGTATGTCGTCCAAGTAGTATACAATAGGGATGCGCTGAATGGATAGGTTGGAGCTGACAAATGTGGGATGTGGAGCCGACGAAAGAGTTGGGCGACATGGTAGTCGCCCGGGTGTGGTATTGCAAAGCGTTCTACCATGGAAATCAACGTTGTAGTCAGCAGAGGTCGCGCACAATGCATTGGGTATTATCTGTGTGGCAGGAAAATTCAAAAAACTCGAGTTCGTTCCTAACACTTGAAGGAATTTGAAGTGACTGTTAGCATATAGCAGAGTCTCAAACTACTGCGCGTGTATGGTGATTATAGGTATCGCGAGTGAGGTGCAATGTGTTCGAAGATGACGCGTATTGATTCTAAGGTTTGTATAGAATAAGGAGGTAATGTGAAGCTTTTCGCAGATCTTGCTGTGTGCCAGTGATGCAAGATGCAGGAAACATTCCTACGTCACGCCTTCGCGATGACTTTGAGTATGCGCATTTCCTAAGCCCATATGGGGTAAATGCCCTGATACCACCCTTCCCGATGACCCTCGTCCTTCCCTTAGTCTTGCGACCACCTCATCGGGTTGGCACGAACACCCTTCGCACCAGACGCCGAGGCAACAGCGCCCCTGCTATTCTTCTTCACCTCAGCCACTCGAACAGGCGGTCCCTGGCGTTTCTTGTTGTCCCTTTCGATTTTCTTGATCAGGTCGGGGGTGTTCATGATCGGCTTGCGGGGGCCGTGACTGCGTTTGGCCTTTGCCGGCTTGGGTGGCGTGGAGTCGACGACTTTGATGGTTTCGACGATTTCTGATGGATGTGTCGACGAGTCTGTTGGTTCTTCAGAGATTGCCTCGAAATAAAATCTTGCGAGAGCAGGGGCGGAAGCCGAGCGGCGAAGGGATGCGGGTGCGGTTACGGGTGTGGACCGCGCAACAGGCCTCGTGAAGGCAGTTGGGTCCACCTTCGTCGCGCTTTCGGTGTCCTCCTCGTAAGCACTGGAGGGAGCGATAGCGATGGTGGATGATGCTCTGGGAGGGGAGGTTTGAACGAGAGACTCCTCGGATTTCTTTCCGCATGTCGAGCACTCTGACTGCTTTCGTGTGTTGTTGGAGGAGACAAGTTTACGAACGAAGCTGAACCAGCGCCTAACAGACGGCTTGTCTTTTCGTTGGACGCGGGTGGAGACCTTCAAATCGGCTTCGTTGGTGGTAGTGCTGCTGTCGGTGCTCGCGCTCAGCCGAGCAAGGTCGGCGTTGGTGGTGGTAAGAGAAGCCATAGCTAGCGATGGGGTGTAAGATAGACAGAGAAAGTCTTATATGTGTCTGAGGAAAGTTGTACAGAAGAAATTTCCAGGCACACAGCTAGTTTATGGATGCTACCGCTCTTTACGCTGCCACCTTCAGATGGTCACGCTGCACTAAGTGATGACTGAAACCATGAGGCTCGTAGGCTGCGAATACATCATACGTAAATTGGCGTTGTAATAGAGCACCTACTGTTGGCTGAACCAGATCCACATCGCGGTATACCGAACTTTGAGTTCGCCAAGGTCAGGCGGCAGTGATCGTGGGAGACGGCCCAGGGTATGGAAAGGATCCAGAGCCAAGGCGCACCCATTGAACGCAACCATAAATCTATGAGTCGTGAGCATTAGGTAGAGAGAGGCAAGTGCATGTGGAAGGCACAAAACACGGCCAGTGACCTGATCGCCGCGAATGACTGCGATAGAATACCAAACCAATTCAAGACAACTCTGTGGGTCGAACAAGATCAGATGGTTAAGAAGTGGTATTCCCTGAATGATCCTATAGCGCCAGCCCAATGCCCATATTCTTATACACCAATATACAAAGTCGTGTATTTCGCTACTTGCGCGCTTCGACTGCCTGCTGGAGTGCTTGGGTGGTGCCCAGTGGCTGTGCGGCTCGGTCTAGAGGCTTGTCTGGTACGATGACATCCTCGAACTCATCCTGTGAGATGGCATTGATGGTGTATGTGTCTATAAGATATCAGTCATCGCTCTAGGCAGAGAAGGCATGTGCCATACAGATGCCAATGACCAGGGTGCAGATAGCGAAGCCAGTGATGGTGTTTTTGATCAGGTACGGCGCGCGGGTTCGCAGCAGGGCCGGCGATGCCCGCATGCGGTCGTCATAGTAGGTCGAGCGGAAGGGTTTGCTGTCGAGGTTAACATACACCCTCGATGTACATGCGCAATGCAACTTACTATCCCATGTTGGCGTGCTGAGACTCTCACTGCTTTGCGGGGAATCGCCAATGTCTCGCCGCGGTGGTGAACTTCCACCACGCTAGGCGGCCTTGGCGGCCAGGCGTAGATCATCATGGCACTGCCGCGAACCCTCCGCGTCACTCACCTCACCCGCAGCTGTAGTCAACAACACCCGTCGCGCAACCCCCCTTCCCTTCTTCACGCTCTCTACGCCTCTTTAATTATTAGCTTTGCTGGGAATGGGAGCGCCCTTGACGTCGGATACCGGGCTTTGTCGCGTTCTTAGTCTGACTGCCGTGCGCGCGTGAGGCAGCGTCACTTCTCTTCACCCTTTCGAAGAAACAAAGCTCGTCTCGTGTGCACTCGCCATCAGCCATCGCCATGAGTTCGCAAACGATACAGCAGATGGAGTCCGCCCGGTCGCTCGCGTTAGGCGACGGTAGATACTATCCTACCATCATACCGGGCGTGCTCCCCATCATCGGCTACAGTGAAGACCAGAGCATCGAGATACAGCGATGGGGTGCCGACTTTCTGGCCGAGGCTTTTTCGTCGCCAACATGGCCTCAAGACGTCAAGCAGAACAGCGCGCCCTCTGTGCTTGCTACCCTGAAGGCCTACCTCGACAATGTTGAAGACAAGAGCGTCATCAAGAGCGCCATCCAGGCGGCTGCCAGCGTTTACCCGCTTGTCTACAAACACATGTAAGTGACATCCCAGGCATCAGATAGAAGTCCCCATGTCAAATATGCCATGCGCATCTTGAGGTCCCCTTGCCAGATGCCCATGATTGCAGTTACGCGAACACGTTCTTATACTTGCATGTGTCAGTGTCTCCGACGCCAGCGATGCGCAAAAATGGCAACTCATGGCCGGCATCAAGTCCAACATCTTGCGACGAATGGATGCAGCTGCGCCCGGTGTGCGGATATGTTGCGTCAAGTTCCTCCAGCAAGTCGTCCTGGTACAGACGCCGGGCGTTACGGACCCTAGGGTAAATACTACACTCTACCCAATGTACACACAGCCATCTGATCCCTCGCAGCGCGCCGACCCAAACGACATCTCCCTCTCCCTCGTATCCCGCGACCACCCCCTCATACCCTACGCGAGCCTCGAGGCTGAAGGACACGGGCTGTTGGACAGGTTGCTGGATATCATACACGGAGATCACAGGTTAGATAGACAGTTGCAGACTGCTGGAATGCCTCTAACAGAGACTAGTGACGGCTTGCTTGTGACTGCCACACTCAACAGCTTGGGCATGCTAATCCACCGCCGCCCAAATGTTGCAAATAAGATCTTGAACAGTGTCTTCAACTTCAACCCTCTCAAGCTCGCCAATTCGCCCATGACGCCCAAGAACAAGGTCATCATGAAGTCGATTGAGCGTACAACAAGGGCACTGCTTGTGAACATCATAAAGAGGTATGTCTGCCTTGCTATATCATAGTACTGCTGATGCTCACAAACGTAGAAACTCCCCAGATAACCCCATCAACGGGCGGATACAGCAGTTCCTCGAACGCATGCATCGTATACGGGTTGAAGTGTTCGATGAATCTAACCGTAAACGTCCTGCACCGGTTGAGCCTACTGATGGTCTTGACCCAGCAAAGAGGCAACGGCTGGTTGCTGAGCCTCCAAGTCGCACGCCATCCGTCCAGCCGCTACCGCCTGGTGAAGTGAGCTGGCGACAACTATACACACTGAACGCTGAGGGCAGCACTGCGAACTTCGATGTGCAAAACTTCAGAGATCCCGAGCAATTGCTGAGGATAGTCGTGCCTGTTCTGCAGTCGGTGAACCCACAGAAGCTTGAACAAGCTATCAACGTATGTGATGTTCCCTGTCCAATTCAGACTCACGTTGGCCTACACGTTTCAGGCTTTATTGGAGGTGTCAGTCGTAGCCGTGCTAACATCATCTAGGCCGTCCGCGCTCGTTATCAGACACTCAAACACACCGCACCAAGTCGCCCTGTACAGCCCCCACCGACCGCCGCCGCAGAAGACGAAGAAGAATACGAGCCCGACTTCGAGCCCGAAGACGCTGAACAACTCATCAACAAGCTCGATGGCATCCCCTCGAATCCCTTCTCCTCACAAGGCGGACCGTCAACCGCGTTAGCACCCTACAAGCTGCCCGAGGCACCTCCGTTATCAGAACAGGATGTTCAGAAGTACGGTGACATGACCGTACATCGAGCCTTCGGCATGCTGAGCAGTGTAGATGAGACACAGAAGAGCAAAGTCGCTAAAGGCGGCTTCAACCGACTTGCGGCCACCGATTACAACAGAGACGCCTGGGTCACTATACTCTCTCGGCTAGCTACACGAGCCAGCGCTGGCCTAGACGACCCGGAAGAAGGCATCAAAGATGAATACGCCGTTAAGAACGCCAAGGGCAATATGCGCATCAGCGATGCGGTAAGAGATGGCCTGTATCAGTACATACTGTACAACTGGAAGTCTCGCATCGACGTCGCCATCTCATGGCTCAACGAAGAATGGTACAACGACATGGTCCTCGCCGAGTCCGCCGAAGACACCGCTACAAACGGTTCCTCCAACCACCACACATCGCCGAAGCCACCAGGGAACTACCATCGCTGCGCCCTCCGCCTCATCGACGGTATCCTGCCCTACATCGAACACACCGACAAAATCATCATCCGCTTCCTCTCCGAGATCCCTGCCATCGACTACAGCATCCTCGTACGTCTCAAGAAGATGGCCGAAGACCCTGAGCGCATCGACTTGGCGTGTAACACACTCCACTACCTGTACATGTTCCGTCCTCCTGTCCGCAAGATCGTCGTCGATATCCTGGCAGAGATGTGGACGGAGAATGAGCGGGCGAAACCTAGTGCGCAGAAGTTGTTGGTTAGATGGAGACCGGAGGTACTTGGCGATGGAAGGAGCGTCAGTATGCCTACTATGGTTAAGAACGAGAGTAGTGCGGGGGCTGGTGGGGATGCGCAGATGGTTAAGGAGAGCGCTAATGGCGCTTTGGAAGTTAAGGCTGTTTCGTAGATGGGGAGATGAGGAGAGAGGAAACTGGGATGGAGACGAAGGAAGGAACATGCCATGGGTTTGGATTCGAGGCGTTCGTTTCTTCACGTGTATACCTATCGATTTCATTCGTAGGATTGTGTTACGATAGGAAGTAAGGAGGCTTACACCACAGTAAGACGGGAGAAAAGGATGTGGGAAAGCCAAGGCTCCAACCCAGAGAGGTTCTGCGTGGTTCCACGAAGACATAGTGCAGCCAGTGTATAACATTTCCAATTTGTTCAAAACACGAATCTGCATTCATCCATTGGCACTTTTACTTTACGTCGTAGTGATCGTTCCTATGCTAATACATCTCCATCGAAATCACATCATCCTCCTCTAACAAACACACACGCCATCTACTCAATCTTCATCTTCTGAAACTGCTCAATACTCGCCTCCCAATTCCTGGCCTCCAGCTCCGCAGTCCTCAGCTTCTCCTTCTCCTGCTCCTTGACCGCATCACTAACCTTCTGCTCCCACTCATCATCCATAATCTTCTTCTGGCGCGTAATCGTCTCGTTGGCTTTGACGAGGCGGTCTTGAGCCTTGGTAATCTCCTTGTCGAGCTCAATGCGGCCCTTGACGTCAAGGTACGCGGTCGCGGCGGTGCCGATTGTGTAGACGGCGCAGCCGGAGGGGATGGAGTCGGTGGGGGATAGGATTTTGATGTCTGCGACGGTTTTGCCGGCGAGGGAGCGGATGGAGGGGAGGGAGGTGGGGGTTGAGAGGGTGGCGTGGGTAGAGTCGTCCAGGGACTTGATGTAGGTGGATGCGCCTTCCTTGATGGCGTATTCGGCGGTTAGGGAACGGAGACCCTTAGCGCTGTCGACGAGGAGCTCGTATTCGGCGTTTGCGGTTTCGTCTTCGAATTCTGGCTTGTACTGGGGGAAAGGCGCGATGGTGATGGAGGGGGTGGAGTCGCCTTGACGGCGGGGGAGACGCTGCCATAGCTCTTCGGTGAGGAAGGGCATGAAGGGGTGGATCATGTTCAGTCCTCCCTCGATGGAGGTGTAGAGCGTCTGTTTCGCGCTTTCCTTCTGCTCTTCGCTGCCTTCGTCGAAAATGGCCTTGCTGTTCTCGATGTAGGTGTCGCAGAGGTAGACGTAGAAGTACTTGTAGGCAGCCTGGGTAGCCAGACTGAACTCGCGTGCCTCCAAGTGGTCGTTGATCTTCTTGGAAGCGACATTGAGCTGATGCAGAATGTATCGCTCAGGTAGTGACTCTGAGCCTCCCTTTGTGACCTTCTCTCGTGGTGTGAAGTTGTCTCCCAGACGTCCAATGACGTATTTTGTGGCCTGGTAGATCTTGTTACAGAACCTTCGGTATCCGTGGATGACCTAACAACTGGTCAGTATATAACATTGAGAACGGTATATGGAAATCGCTTACGTTAACATCGAACGAGATGTCACCTCCTCCTGTGGTGTACCCAACAAGTGCCATGCGCAGCGCATCAGCACCGCACTCGGGGATACCCTGAGGGAAGGCTGTCTTCTGATACTTCTCCGCCTTGGTCAACTCCTTGGGATCAAGGTTACCAGCGCGAAGCTGGTCGTGTAGCTTCTGCAGAGTGATACCATCCATGATATCAACAGGGTCCACAACGTTACCCAGCGACTTGGACATCTTTCTTCCGTCCGAATCACGGATGAGCGAATGGCAGTAGACCTCCTTGAATGGGACCTTGCCGGTGAGGTACAAGGAGAGGAAGATCATCCTAGCAACCCAGAAGAAAAGAATGTCCCATCCAGTCTCGAGAACAGATGTGGGGAAGAGCTTCTCCAGGTCGGCGGTCTGGTTGGGCCAGCCGAGGGTAGAGAATGGCCACAGACCGGAAGAGAACCATGTGTCAAGGACATCCTCGTCCCGTGACAGCGTGAACTTCTTGCCCGGGAACTTCTTCTCAGCCTTGGCCCGCGCCTCCTCTTCTGTCCGGCCGGTGATCCAGAGCTCATCTTCACTTCGGTCACCCGCTTGACCTTCGATTTCAACAAAGTACGCGGGAACCTGGTGACCCCACCACAGCTGTCGAGACAAGCACCAATCTTGAATGTTGTTCATCCAGTGCATGTAGACCTTCTCGGAGGTGGCGGGCCTGATCTTGATGTCGCCCTTCTCGACGGCTTCGATAGCGGGCTTAGCTAGGCTGTCCATCTTCATCCACCATTGCGGCTTCATGATAGGCTCGATGACGTCGCCAGATCTTGAGCAGATCGGGACCTTCATGGGGTTAGGCTCCGTCTTCACAAAGAGGTCGGCCTTCTTCAACGCATCAACAACGGTGTAGCGGACATCGAAGCGCTTGGCGCCTTCGAATTGACCAGCGTTCTTGTTCATAGTTCCGTTGTCGTTCAAGATGTTGATGAACTCAAGACCGTGCTTCTTTCCAAGGTTGAAATCGTTGGGGTCGTGCGCTGGAGTGAGCTTCACAGCTCCGGTACCAAACTCAGGGTCGACATAGTCGTCAGCGACAATAGGCATGAGACGGTCGATGAAGGGGTGACGGGCTTTCTTTCCGACGAGGTCCTTGTAACGGTCGTCCTTAGGATGGACAGCGATACCGGAGTCACCGAGCATAGTCTCGGGACGTGTGGTAGCGATCTCGATGAACTGGTCGGTGCCTTCGATGGCGTACTTGAAGTGAGTAAGAACACCGAACTCAACCATCCTCTCGTACCCGGGCACAGATAGCTTGGTAGGTCCAGCCAGATCCTTGTTGTCGACCTCAAGTGTACTAAGCGCTGTGTTGAGAGCCGTACACCAGTTTACCAATCTGTTACTGCGGTAGATCAAACCATCTTCGTGCAGGCGCACGAAGGTTTCCGTAACAGCCTTGGAGCAGTTCTCATCCATGGTGAAGGCCTCGCGTGTCCAATCGAACGATCCACCCATTCTGCGCAGGGTGTTGGTGAGATGCTGATGGTATTCCTCCTTCCACTCCATAGTCCGCTCAAGGAACTTTTGGCGACCAAGATCGTATCTCGTCTTGTTCTCCCTCCGCTTGAGCATCTTCTCGACAACGGACTGTGTAGCGATACCAGCGTGGTCGCAACCAGGCAGGTACAGGGTGGTGTAGCCCCTCATCCTATGCCACCGTATGAGGACATCCTGGAGACTCGTAGCGAGCGCGTGACCGCAGTGTAGCTTTCCGGTAACGTTGGGTGGCGGGATAGGAATGACGAAGTGACCGGGCCCCTTGACGTCTCCATTCTCGGCGAACTGGGGCTTGAAGAAGCCCTGGGAATCCCACCATGCATCCCATGCCGACTCGACGACCTTGGGTATGTATGCCTTTGTGTATGCGTCGTCTAGTGGCCTCAGCCTCTTCTTCTCGCCCTTGGGTGTCTCTTCGACGTATTCTGGTAGTTGCTCCTCCTCCTTGCCCTTCTTCTTCTTCTCTTTGGCTGGAGCGGCGGCATCCTTGGAGGCACCGGCAGCGGCTGCCTTCTTTGCCTTGAACTTTGCATCCTTCTCCGCCTTCTTGCGCTCCTTCTCTAGTTCCTTGGCGGACTTCTCCTTCTTCTCTACGCCCTTGTCGTTCTCACGGCCGGGCGCATGTTGGCCGGTAGCCTCGTTCTCGGCAGCGCCAAGGATGTCTTTCTTGACGTCTGAGCTGAGCTCGGGCGGCGGCGCAGTGTTTGGCGTCGTCTTCTCGCCGGTCGAGTTGTGGGAGGACGCGTTGAGCGCCATGGTTGCGGTCGAGTAGTGGTGTTTGTGGGTGAGCACGCGCTCAGCGTGAAGCGGCGTGTAGGTTCGCGATAGGCTGCGGATTGGCCGTCTCAATTGCAATGGGCGTCTGGCAAGATTTTGAGAATCGAGGTTTCGTCTGCAGGCGGCGCGCAGTGTAGTGGGCGCGGTGCGGGGCAACATTAACAAAAAAGTGCCTGGGTGTGAGTCGTCCAAGTCCGGCCTGCGTCACCCCACATCCTCGAGCTCGGACGGACCCCGCCTACGACGACGAACCATTGAGCCATGCTCGTCGCTCCATGACTGCATACAACACAGTCATGACGGGACACAGTCATTGCCAGACGATAGGAGCTCTCCGATCTCACATCGGGAATGCCCGACGATGATTCATATGCGATGAAAAGCAAAACACCAGGTGAGGTGCACAAGTCGAGTCAGAGATAAGTGTGCCACAAAAAGATTCGTCATTGACTACCGTGAGCATAAAACACTTCTAGCAAGAATGAGCGTCCACCAACACCCCAATATGCATTGAGCCGAGTACTTGTTGAGCTTTGTTTGCTCCCATGCGCCTGCGATGTACCATTGCGCTCCCCATCGCTTATACAAGAACGATACCTAGCACCTTGCCCTATGCACTGCCGCTCCGTGATGTGCGCCTTGTGCTTGTACGCCGGCACCTCGGTTGTGTCTCAAGCCAAAAAAACTTGGAACGGATAGATGGGAGACCGAGTATTTCGTTGCTGTAACTTTTATGCTATTACATAAAGTCTAATTACGTGAATGGGTATCTCAATCATGCCGCGGTGCTGTTTTGCTGCGCGGCCTGTCGGACGGGCGCAAAGTAAGGATGTTGCATGGCCTCTTGGGCAGTCAGTCGGTCCTGATACATGTTAGTCTTTGACACCGCATCGTTACATATGACAGAACGTACCTGGTGATCGTATCGCAGCAGTTTGTCGAGGAAGTCAATCGCATCGTTGCTGACAAAGCGCTGGTTCTCGGCATTGATGAACGAGTGCCACGGCTTCTTGGGATACCGACTAAGTATGTCGTCGTACTGGGCGTCTAGCTCAATGTCGTACTTGTCGAGATAGTCGAACAGGTCCTCCGTTCCAAGCACCTTGGCAATCTTGACGAGCTGGTCAGAGTTGCTGTTGCCGTGGAAGAATGGTTCCCGCCTGAAGATCATTGAGGCGAACATGGCACCCAGCGACCACATATCAAGCGAGTAGTCGTACTCTTGGAAATCGACTAGTAGCTCGGGGCCCTTGAAGTAACGTGACGCGACACGGACGTTGTATTCGGTTCCTGCATGGTAGAACTCCGCTAGACCCCAGTCGATTAGGCGCAACTAGTACTCGTTAGCTGTGCTCCTCTGCTCTGATAGGATGTGCGCACCTTCCGCTTCTCATGATCGATCATAACGTTATGAGGCTTGACATCACGGTGCATGATGCCTTTGCTGTGGCAGTAGTCGAGGGCCTTGAGCAGCTCGAAGATGTAGTATCGCACGTCGTAGTCCTGGAACTTGGGGTACAGACTCCGGAAGTCAGTATTGTTGACATATTCGAATATCAGCGAGGGTGTTTTGCTCTGTTGATCGCTGGTCAGCTTTATTCTCAAGCACGCGGCAGCGGTTGGGCCTCAGTACCCAGTCGCCAATCCAGTCGGAGCCGTCACTAACCTGGTTGTCGCGCACCACGTCCAACAGCGAGACGATGTTGGGGCCACCCGACAGATTCTGCAGGATCTTGATCTCACGCTTTATCTTCTTCTTCTTGACAGGCTTGAGGACCTTGATGACGCATTTCTGGTAGTTAACCACGTTGATGCCCTCAAAGACCTCCGAGTACTTTCCGCGGCCAATCTTGCGGACGACCTCGTAGTTCTCGAGCACGCCCCAGGAGATGTTCACCGAGTCGTAGTCCCAGTACGACCGAGGCATGTTCGCGTTGACATCGGCGTAGACGCGAGCGAGGCTTGTAGCCCCGCTACTATTGTTCAACGCCATTCGGACAACAAAGCAGTTCTCCGGGAGATCTGTGGAATTCCACTTTGCGCGTTCTTCGAGGTCTGTACTGAGATCTCTGCGCCAAGGGGCTGTTGTATCGAGCGAGGGGTCGTATGGTGGGGTGAAGAAGCGGAGGAGGTCGGGACCCTGGGAGAAGAGGGCAAGGCCTGCAAGCGCACCAAGGACAGCGAGCGCAAGGAGCGGGTATGGAGGAAGGCGCGACAGAGGGCCGTCACGGCAGTCGCGATGGGCCTCGTGGTTGGGCGGGGGTGCCTGGGTGTTGGCGGTGGTGAGCTCTGGCTGCTCGTGTTGGTGGTGGAGGATGGCTTGTGGGCGTTAGACTAGTACCAGGCAAGGGCCAAGCTTTTCCGGCAGGCGGGCCCAGGTGCTGATGACGATCCCTTCTATCTCACTTACAATTATTTAGCTTGCGCTGCCGCACTTCCCCTTCAACCTCTGCAGTAGTCATTCTAGCTAGTGCAGCCATGTTTCACGACCTGAACGTTCCCTGGACGGACGCGACGCGCGAGCTGCAGCGCACAGTAGCTTTCCTCGACGAATGTGAGTTCTTCGAGTTGTAGTTGAATGCGCCGGCGGTGGACTGACGCGGTGCAGTAGGATACGACGTCGTTGCTCTCACGCACACATATTCGGGAAAACTGCCGACTGATATAGTACGTCGAGGAAACTGCGACCCTTTCACCTTCCTCTTTTCAATCGCTAATGCGCTGCTCAACCAGAGTTCGCCTGTACCCACAAAACTCCCCTTCCCGGTTCCTTCACGCATGCGCATCCTACGACGATGCAACATCTTTCTTACCGATTCGGCCTCCAACTTCCGCATACCACAGCTCCAGCAGCAATATGACCTCGTAGCCGCGCGACCTACAGACGACCGCACCCTCCAGCAGGCATGTCAGAGTCTGGACGTAGACATAATTTCACTCGACCTGACCCGGCGATTCGAGTCCCACTTCAAGTTCCCTACGCTGGGGACAGCTATATCCCGTGGTATTAAGATCGAAATATGCTACAGCCAGGGTATCATGTCGAGCGATCCCGCCGCAAAGCGCAACCTGATTAGCAATGCGACACAGCTCATACGCGTGACCCGTGGTCGGGGCCTCATATTTAGTTCGGAAGCGAAGAGCGTGCTAGGCATACGCGCACCAAGCGATGTCATCAACCTGGCTTCCGTCTGGGGACTCGGCACAGAGAGAGGCAAAGACGGTCTGACAAAGGAGCCTAGGAGTGTAGTCGAGTATGCACGATTGAAGCGCCAGAGCTTTAAGGGCATCATAGATATTGTCTATGGTGGAGAGAAGCCAGCGCAAAGCTCTGCGGCTAAGGGCAAGGACAAGCAAGATCCGAAGGGGAAAGCAAACAAGAACCAGAACGGCAAGCGACCAGGCGAGAGTTTGGAGGGCACTCCCCTGCACGAGACCAAGGCAGAAAAGCCAATCTCGAAGCGCCAGCAAGCCAAGAACAAAAAGGCAAAAGTACAGGAGGGGGGTGGAGAAGTGACAGAATCCTAAGGAAGGAGTATTTTGACTCTATCTAGATAGACGGCAGATGATACCCATAGACACGAGCAGCAATGCACAACAAAGATCATACCCACACCTTTGTATTCTCTCAACATTACTACCTCGCAGGAACACTCAATGCTCAACTGCTACGATCAACTATATAACATAGAAACTAACAAAGCATAGACATCTGGATATTGCCAAATATGAGACATCTACCACCACCACATCGCTGCCTGAACCTCCGGCGTCGGCTTCACCAACCTCCTTCCGAGATTCACCGTGACACGACTCTGTAGCGCAACAGTGCTGATATCGAAAGGTAGGGGCTCTTCAACGGGCGTTGGCGCAGGGGCGCCGGCTGCAACTTGACTCTGAGCCTGCGCGCTTGTTGTTGCTTTTGCAGGAGAGGAAGAAGCTGCTGGTGCAAGCGATACCTCGACAGATGGTGTTACACTTGCAGATGATGATGTTGCAGCCGCCGAAGAAGCAGAAGCAGAAGCAGAAGCAGATCCGCTAGCCATCATAGTAACACCCGCTCCAGCCGCACTGGTCGTGGTTCCTGCGACAAGGCCAGGCCGAGTCAGTGTAGCCGAGTCGATAGCTACGGTGCTGCTTGAGCTTGTCGAAGCAGCCTGCTGTGCTCCAGGGGGTGGTGAACCCCCGGCCTCAACAGTTACCGCACTGCCCACGACAGTCTGCATGGTACTTTGACTCATTGTTGGCGCGCTGCTCATGGATCCTAGTTGGAAGGGCTGGGCCTGTGGTGCAGACATGGGGAAAGATCCAGCCGGACACATGCAAGCGCAGTTGCATTGAGAAGCTGCTGTAGCAGCGGCTGCACCACCAGATCCTGCGACGACGGTGACTGCAGCCGCAGCTTTTGTGGTAGTTGTAGCTCCCGCGAGGCCGGCGGCGGTCCCATTGCTTCCTCCGCCTGCGACAACAGTGACCGCGGCTGCTGCACCACCCGAGGATGCAGTACCGTTCGTTCCAGATCCTGAGCCGGCGACAACCGTAATCGCGGCTGCTGCTCCACCTCCACCAGAAGCGCTGGCAACTCCAGCAGTACTGTTTCCATCGGCTTTGACTGTGACTGCCATGCCTACTGCAGTTGTTGTCGTTGCAGCAAGACCTCCGGCCGTAAGCTTGGCCGAGTCGATCGCTGCAGTACTGGCGGAAGTGGAATTTGAAGCACCTTGAGCGCCAGCTGCGGGCTCTGATCCGGCCGATACAGTCACAGCAGCTGCAGGTGCCATGGCGGCTGCCGAACCCTGGGGTAGCGTTAGCGATGTACAGAATGGAACATAACTCAACAACGTACAGTAGAGTTCTTGCTTTCCGCTAGACTGGCTGTCTGCATAGGCTCAGCAGCGGGCATAGCGGCCCCCTTAGCACCCATGCTGCTTGAGTTTCCAGCAGCCATACCTCCCATCTGGGAAGGCGCATTCGTCCAGGGAATAGGGGTCACTTTTGGCAGAGCTGACTTTCCAGCGGGGAAGACTGTCTTTACCACCTTGGAGGAAGCGGACGCCTCTGTCGGCTTCTCGACAGCGGCAGACGATGCTGATGCAGTGGCTGCCTCTGGTGCCTCGGCCGCAGCCTTCGACGATGTAGCTGAGGCTTCTTCGGCAGCTGATGACGAAGCTGATGCTTCTCCCTTGGCTGGTGACGATGCCGGTGCTGCTTCTGCAGGTGCTTCCCCTTTAGCTGAAGACAACGTAGTTGGTGCCTCTGCCTCTGCCGGTGATGAAGCAGATGCTTCAGCTGGTGCTTTTACGGCGGTTGATGACGATATGGCAGTGGCTTCTCCGGCCGCTGGTGACGATGCTGACGTTGCTTCAGCTGGGGCTGATGGCGATGCTGCTGCCGGCGCTTCTCCAGCGGGAGGTGTCGTTTCGGCTGCTCCCTGCGGCGGTGCTTCGACAAGCGTTGCTGCAATCTCCTGGCCATTGGGTTGAGTGACGATAGTCTGAACTATCTGAATAGTTTGAAAGTTACTCCCATTTTGTGGTGCTCCAGACTGGGATGGTAGTTGGCCTTGTCCATTTGGTGCGAGTTGATTCGCTAGATCTCCAGCAATATCGGCGCTGCCACTCTGACTAGAACCGGGTTTGGGGGCCAGCTGGTTTGCAAGATCTCCAGCAATGTCGCTCGACTTGATGCCACCTGCTGCTCCTTGGTTGGCACCCTGTGTCGTTCCTTGCGCACCACTCTGGCCCTGCGGCTGCGGGTTGCTGGTCTGGTTTGTCGATGGACTCTGCTTTTGCCCATTAAGCCCAATGAGGATGTCGTCAACGCTCGTGGAGCCCCCACCGGCAATCTGGTTTGCGAGGTCTCCACCGACATCATTCGTGTTAATATCTCTGTTGCCACTCCTTTGGCCTTGTCCTTGGCCTTGCGCGAGCCCATTCAACAAGGCGTTTGCGTCGAGGCCGTTCTGTGCAAGCCTGGCGGCAATGTTTCCATTGTCCAGTGCACTGGCTTGCTCGGCAGCAGGTACGTTGAGTGCCTCTGTATCCCGTCGTTGCCAGTCGAGTCCCGATACCAAATTGTCGATACGTCTGCCCGAGACTTCGGTTCGTATGTGAGTATTGTGAAGATCAAGTACTGCCTGAGTGACCGTCTATACGCAGTCAGTGAAGAGTCTCTACAAGCAAATGACATACGTACTGCACTCATGAGCAGCAGGGCTGGTACCCAGGACGATCGAGTTCTAGTCATTGTGGAATTCTTGATGAAGTGAGAACCGGAAACGATGGAAAAGAAAATTAGTAATTAGTACATCAACAGTCCAGCTGGAGTAGAATCGAAGGCGATGTCACAGACATGCAGAACCTCTCAGTACCTGCACAGCAGAAAGACCGAAGAGTTGAAGATGGAACGGAAACGTGTGGACACACAATGGAAACAGATAGTCCGGATGCAAACGAATGTAAGCTTCCGATAGTGCGAGAGCATGCCAAACCGTTCAAAGGTTCATGACTGAGGCGAAAACTATCCTACTTAACGGGTCCGACATGTCAGCCCCGCTCAGCATGTTTCTAACCGTGTGGTGCTGGTTTCGAGCCTTCGCGGCTACTCGAACAGTGTTCAGGTGCGTCTCAAGGGTCGGAACGGTGTTCCTCAAATGGAGTCCCAGCGCGCAGTAGTGCAGCCGGTGATGGCATTGTCGGGTCAGCCTAGTTATCAGGGTTTGTTCCAGGCCAGTAACGTGCGATCCATGATCGACAGGCCCGCGAAAAGCGATTTTGGTGGTAGTCAAGCTTCACGATCGTCTGGCCAGCCGCTATGGTGGTGTAGTCTGACACGCGATGTGCGCGAGGCGATGGGGTTCACACCGGAGGCGTTTCACTCTGTGGAACATGGCGTTTTCTTCCTTCCGCTCGTGCATGAACGAAATCGATCTTCCATTACCGATCTATTTCCGCCCAAGTGCCGTGCGATAGAAAAGGCTTATCAATCGCGAAGCTGCAAAGTCGCGTTGTGCTGTGAAGCATGTGCGTAGCTGGTGATCGCGGGAGAAAGTCGTGCCTAGTAATCGTGGCTTGGCGACCGATGACGTGCGTCATTACGCTGGGCCTGACGCTTGCCAGCCCCTGGGGCCAACTTCCATCGCAAAGAATACGATTCTCGCTCGTCGGAGTCGGCCAAATTTTGCCAGCGCAGCGTGGAACGTTCGGCTTCCGTACGTAGCGACGTAGCTGTAAGCTCTAGGCTTCTGTATATGTAGGCGCAACTCTGCTGTCAAGGTCCGCGCACACAACAACAGCACCGTCCAGCGGTCATCATGGCCGCCATACACGTCCTCGATGATTATTATCTTGCCATCACCTTCCTCGTTACTGTTGCATACCAGCTGATCGGCTTTGCGATAGCCTTTTCGTTCAAGTTCGACAAACTTACCGATTTTGCTGGCGGCACCAACTTCATCCTTCTTGCGATCATCACGCTCTCATGCAGTGAGAACCGCGGCGATGCGCGCAACATTGTGGTATCGCTATTTATCATGCTGTGGGCGGCAAGACTGAGCGGCTTTCTTCTTTTCAGGATTCTCAAGACTGGCAAGGATGATCGTTTCGACGATAAGAGGGACAAGTTCTGGTCGTTCCTCGGATTCTGGGTGTTGTGAGTAGCTACAGACGTAAGCTGGGTGTCATTACTGATGGGTTACAGTCAAATGTTCTGGGTTTGGACTGTATCCATGCCGGTCACTATTCTGAACTCTCCAAAAGTCACTCGATTCAATCAGCCAGACTTTGGAACAGGCTGTGATATCGCTGGCATCATTCTGTGGTCAATTGGTTTCATCATGGAAAGTGTTTCCGACGTCCAAAAGTACAGGTTCCGTACTGCTCACGGTAGCGACGGCGCCGTCTGCAATGTCGGGTTCTTTGCCTGGACGCGCCACCCGAATTACTTCGGTGAGATGCTCATCCAGTTCGGTAGGTGTTGCTCATTGAGTTTCTTTGGACCAAAACTGATTATGACAGGTATATTCACGATCGCTATATCCCCGGCTGCAAACAACTACGTCTCGGGCGGTGCATATGACGCTCTGTACGCGTCTATTCTCGGTCCATTCTTCCTGACTCTGCTACTCATGTTCGTATCCGGCCTCACGCTACAGGAACGACCTGGCGCAAAGAAGAGATACGAGAAAGGCAACCGATGGCCCGAGTACGAGCAATACCTCCACCGAACGAGCATTCTCATCCCTTTCCCGCCACAGCTTTACGCCAAGCTGCCCGTCATTCTAAAGAGAACCATCTTCCTTGAGTTCCCAATCTATGTCTTTGATCCAGCCAAGCATGCAGACCAAGACAAAGTGCAAGCCAGAAACGCGGAGGAAGGTCAAACCAGGCCGAGTGATGAGCAAGGCCTTAGATCTTGAAGTATCAGATGTTCGATATAATGATACCCCTTTGTTGATTCTCTATCTTTATATAAACAACATTGTTAGAGCGCTTCGTACCGCATAATCGTAATTCAATATTCTCCCAAAAGGCATGCACAAATCAAAATCAGCATTCGATTATGTGAAATCGTCATGGTGCCATCAAAACTTGACGTGCAGGGTAACAAGCCAAAAGGCGGTTTATGTTTGTTCTATGCTAGATCTGTGTACCGACGTAGTCTGATGAACCACACGTCGCCTGCCCCTGCGTTAGGGGTGGCAAGAGCTCCAAGACTACAGATCCCAGCAATCCTCGTGCAGCGCATCTCTCGCCAAAGCTTCCACCGACCTCCGAGCAAGCCGTGTCCATGTCGGCGATGACATGTGAGAATGCAATCACCAGGTCGAGCAGTGGGATACAGCCTGCTTAGTCAGTCGCTGAGCGAATCAATCCACCCGGCCTTATCGCGCGAACATTGAAGATCACCTCACGCCATCGCATAAACCACACCCACGGGACGATGAGAAGAGTCAAAACCATCGAAATTTGTACCTCATGCTCGCATCTTTCCTTGGCTCGTCGTCTTAGTTGGACGACTAGCAGCCATGAGCCTGCTGGCGCCTGTTTCCAACTCGGAAACTACTTCCATCCCGCGTCCCCAATCGATTAGAGCACCTGGAGATGCGATTGCGTCATTGCGTCACTCTGAGATGGCCTGTTTGTAAGACTGGATGGGTGAATATAAGAGCCTGAAAACGCGCTTCGCCCTGCCGTTCGACCACCCTAGCATATCCTACATCCTTGACACCAATTCTTTGTCATCTCAACAAGACAACACTTGTTTTCAAGATCGTTGCGAAAGCTGAACCATCAGAATGACTACTACCCCAATTCACTCAACTGGCCGCGGAGGTATGCCCTGCATGATACTTCAACATGCAACAACAGGAAAAGCTGATCGCTGACGCAGGCGCCGGCAACATTGGCCCCGACACCAACGTCTACACTGATGGAGGCATGGTTCGCGAGGGCGTTCAAGGCGACTCTCTCGATGGAGATTTCTCCACTGGCCGTGGGGGAGCTGGCAACATCGGAAAGTCGCCTCGCGTTGGGCCGCAGTCTGACGAAGGTCGTCGCTCAGTAGACATGGTACCTGAGATCAACCAGCGCAACCCGCAAGACGAGTTTCACACCGGCGTACGTCATGTTATATGAGTAATAGCAGCCTCAACTGACATAATTGTAGCGAGGTGGAGCCGGAAACGTATACAAAGAAAAGCATGGCGGCCACAGCCAGTCACCCGACCGCAAGGGATTGGGCGACAAGGTCAAGGAAGTACTTCATTTGGACAAGAAGAAGGAACATGAGCCATCTCCTTTGGCACAGAACACGACTACGAACTAGATATGATACCCAAGTCAAGCGACTTTCCTGGAGGACTGGTAGTGGTATGAGCGTTGGACATCGATGATACCTCAGGCTATAATCTCGACTATGAGACAGCCTCGTTTTCCCTTTGGTAATTAATAGACACAGACACTCTCTCAACCATGTCTTTAAGTTTTGTATGACCTACCTGGATTGATGTCTGCATCGTGCCTGACTATGATGGTGGGATGAACACTAGCGCGGACCACGTGGGGTAGTCGCGATCGCAAGTCGCGTCATTGGGCTCCAGAAAATCCACCAAACTTCACACCCCAACAACACCTTTGCGCAACATCACAATGAGTTCCAGCGAACATGACGCCGAGGCCCTCGTGCACTCCGATGACCCAAGTCACCCCGCGAACCACATCTGCACGCTCTGCGCGAAGTTTTATAGCTTGGGCTGGGTACGATGATCTCCAGGCGTCAGGGGGACGCGGATGAAGACAAGATCGAGTGATGGCTAACACGGAGATTCCGCCAGGTGACAGGCACTGGCGGAGGAACGAGCATACGCCATGAAGACAAGATATACATTGCGCCCAGCGGCGTACAGAAAGAGCTCATGAAGCCCACCGATATGTTTGTTATGGACTTCAACAGCAAGGAGTACTTGAGGAGACCACAGGTATATCGCGCGATGTTGGACCATGGGAAGATAGCTAAGGAGCATTTAGGTCCTTAAACCCTCAGCGTGCACGCCTCTCTTCCTCGCAGCCTTCGAACGCGGCGCCGGCTGCTGCATCCACACACACTCGCAATGGGCCGTCCTCGTAACCCTCCTCGTCGAGCGCGATTTCGGAAAAGACGCGTGCTTTGAGATCGAAGAGATTGAACAGATCAAGGGCATACCGAAAGGAAGAGGGAAGCAGGGTAACCTAGGTTATTATGACCGTTTGCGTATACCCATCATCGAGAATACTGCGCACGAAGAGGATCTGAGGGAGAGCTTAGAGGAGGCGATGGAGAAATACCCCGATTCGTACGCGATTCTTGTCAAGAGACACGGCATCTACGTGTGGGGCGACAACGTACACAAGGCGAAGACGCAGTGCGAGAGTATTGATTATATCCTGCAGTTGGCGGTGGAGATGAAGAAGCTAGGGCTACCGTGGACGAAGTGAAGAGACAGCAAAACTTAGGCGTAATGCGTTGCGTACACAGGTGGGGTACACATGAGCAGGCAAGAGAAGAGTGTGTGCATTGGAGGGAAAGCTTTTTGAGCTAATCTTGAGCCGCCATAACCTCCCTAATCGTTTCGCTCTCGATTTTCCTCATCAACCAAGCGTGTACAGTGATCTCTTTAATGTTTCCGCATGAAGCCATCGAGTCCTGCCCCCACAGTCTGTCCCGAGTCGCCCCTACTCACGGAACGCAATTTCGACTCCCTCTCTATGAAACGGCGGCCACGAAACTCGAGTATCAAAACTGCATTTCCCCCGAATCCCATTCGCATGACAAGAACACGCAATCACGATTTTATGTAGATTGGGAAATGTTGACAGTAGACCAGGAATTACCAGTCGTATGATCCATCGCAGATCCTGTTCCATAGGATCGTAGTAGTTTAGAAACTCTTCCTTAAGATTGTTGGAGTATTGATAGGAGGCTTGAGACCTGTCAGCCTCCATGAGTGCTTTTTTAAACACCAGAAGAGCGTCGATGGTCCTCACGGAAATGGATCGTATCATCGCGAAGTGGGCATCTCGGATTCGATCTCGAAAACGCTTGAAGGCTTTGTAATCGTGGAAAGCAAAAGTATTCTCGTGGTAGAAGACTAGAGCGGCCTCGGAGTAGATTTGTCGGCAGGTGCGAGGGAGGCTAAGCTGCCCTAGATTGCTTTTGAAGAGACCCGTCGATGTGGAGCCGTATTTGCGATATCTCAATCGTTTGAGGTTGGGATACACGGTTATACCGCCCAGTGCGCAGTGCCATATCTTTGTGCGGAGTTCGGATGGTAGTCGCAGGAGAGGAGAGTTCACACTGTTGTCTTGGGCACTGGATACTGTTAGAGAGACATGAGGATCGTTGAGGTCTTCACTTACATCGTCACAAGATGGTCTGGCGTTTGTGAAAGGTCCAATAAGTCATTCTCTTTTGGCTCTTCGACTGGCGTCTTCTTACTTGAGGCGCTTGCTTGATCACACTTCTTGTGGGTCTGAGAAACCATGAGTAGTCTTGCGCCTGTGGTACTTATCGTTCGATTGAAGTTACTTTAGTTGGGTTTGTGACCGAACGGCTCGGTGTATGTTCAGGGAATTGTTTCAGGTAGTGGAGAAAGTCTGGTAGGAAAGACTTCAATCTTTGAATGAGAGTTGGAGCGACTGGGGGCTTGAACGAGCACACACAGTGTCAAGTGCGGCGACTATTCACTACGATGCACTGACACATGCTTCTGCAGCTATGGCTGCCTTACTGCACGATGAATGGTCCACTCTACTAAAGACATCAGCTGACATACTCAAGAAGCCCCCCTTGGTACTTCAGCTCGGCCCCTTTTGACTTGACCTCGATATATCCATTCTGTGTCTCTACTTGGAACTGCCACCACCATGGACAAGTCTACGCTCCCAGCGGAGGCCACTCAATCCGTCCCTGAAGCGCGCTACAACATGCGCAAGCGTCCCGCCAAACCGACCACGAAATCTTCCAAGCGCGTCTATCGTACTCGCGGCGGTCTCGTCTCCTTGCGGAAGACACCCAAAGACCTCGTCCCCATGTGAGTCATTCAGAAGCGGAAGATCTATATACAGCTGATATCATCCAAAGCGTCAAGTCCAACACGCAACAGTCTCCCCTTCTCCGCCTTCCCGCTGAACTTCGAAACAAGATCTTCAGGTGTGCTTTGGGAAGCGGCCGGTTTATACACCATTGGTAAGAGATATCGCTCTACGGACTGATGTGAGACATGCACTGACTTCGTACACCCATAGGTACGGAGGCACCCGCGAATGGCGCTACCTCAACAGCGATAACGACGTCTTCCGTTCAACACGTGCCAACATCGCCCTACCGCGCGTCTGTCGTCAAATTTACTCCGAAACAGTTACTCTAGTATACTCCGAGAACTTGTTTTCCTTCAACAACGTCTTTGAACTCGATCGCTTTGTTGCTTCACGCAAACATGCTCAGCTCGAAGCCATGACGATGGTTATGGTTGATATAAGTTGGAACGCGTTTAAGAGTGGAAGCGACGCTCTGGAGATGGTGCTTAGGAGCCTAGGCAGATGCAAGGGGTTGAAGAAACTGTATATGGGAGAGCTCAGGGGCCTATGGAGCACCAAGAAGGAGTTTAATCGTGTGAAAGAAGCGGAAGCTGCAGTTGCAAAAGGCCAGGCAGGTGATATCGAGGTTATATTTGTGTCGCCATACACATTGGAACCTCTGCCGTGGTCATAGCACTGGTTAGGGAGACAGGTCAATCGCTTTGGTTGCGTTCGGTGAGGTGCGCTTGCCTCGCACATTTCAATACCTAGGTAGACTATGATGTCAGGTCATTTCATGCGATCTTACATTGCTTGTAAATTTCATAAGCCCGTGCACACCTAGTGCAGCTCCTTCATTTACCTATTAATCTGCCAGTCTTCTGCCTTCTACCTTCATCGAGAATACCTTACCATACCTTGGTCGGCAATCAATACATCCAATAGACTCAACCAACCAAATCAAACCAACGGAGTTCTCATGGAGGATTCAGGAGAACTTCAGGACATAAACCGCCTGAGTACTTCGCATGCTGAGCGCATACGTCGGTGAGTTCAAGAGTTCGCACATCCTCTACAACTTACTTACAGTCTGACAGAACCCAAGAGAACCAGGCAAACTCCCCTCTCCTCCGTCTTCTACCTGAGCTTCGTAACATCATCTACGAGTATGTGTTACGTATGAATTATCCGATAGAGATGATAAGAACAGCGATGAGGGACCGAGCCGGCCCCAAGCGACATCTTCTCGCCCTCCTTGGAAGCTGCTCGCAGATCAACACAGAGACCGCTATGCTGCCTTACACTCTCAACGTCTTTGCTATGACGGGTTGGATAGCATGTTCCAATACATGGAAGCTACTTCATCATACCGGCCAGAAGCAACTACAGGCTATCAAGAGGATGCAACTTAGGACAGCTGTGGGGAGTATAGTCATGGGGCTAGAGGGCGAGCTCGCCTCTTTAAAGGGCTTGGAGATGATCGAGGTACGGGACAGCCGTGGTCAGTGGAACGAGGATCTGATCCGGCGGATAAAGATGCGTATGCCAGGCATTGTTATTTCTAAGATTGAGGCGTTTCCTTAGAAACCGCTGAGAGGTCTTCGGACGAAAAGGCCCTCACGCTCGAACGCGAAAGACAGAGAAGAGGGCCTCGGGAGGTAGGGGAAACTGCATTGGGAAGTTAGACATCGAGTATTTGTGCTACCTAGGTACCGTGGACCCGTAATGCCTGAGGAACTAGGGCCGAGTAACGATGTAGTCAAGAGACACATAACTTGATATATGACTCTTTGAATCGAATGAGATTCAAATAGAATTTTGAATATGCGATAGATATGAGGATGAATCTGTACTACATCATGGTGCAAATGACTTTCGCGACAACCCTTGTTAGTTGCGCATTACGTCATCAATCCTGGCATCCCTACGCTAACCAAAGTCAATATCCCTGAGCGGATGGCGCCCAGGCCTCTGACATTCATCTACGAAGCCAGAGAACATGCCTCGCTGGTCGCAAAGGTGCATCTTTTTTGCGTTACTATGTTGCACACTATTCGAATGGTATGAGTCAAAGTTTCATAGCTTCCAAGATTTACAGCATGACCAGTTCGCCGTTACCACGCCTGCTACTGACTCACCATTCCTGCGCCTCTGTGTCTTCTCAACAGATTATGTTGGTTCGACTTGTAATGTTACCTGACGAGTCTTGTTGGTCAATCAACGGACGGATGCAGTGCTGCAAGTGAGTCACCACTACTGCGTCTCTGGTTCTCCCAGCCAGCGCGAACCGCTAGTGAGTATGTCGAGTGTAACCATCCACGGAGCTCCCAAAGAGAAAGAGTCATCTCCAACTATATAAGATCTCTTAAACCCTATCACTGCAACCATCACTCATGCCTTGTACACTATCTGCATCTTCAGATATGTCGACAAGCAACTCTACCCACCGGAGTAAAACTCCATCGATGGCTACAGCCCAGTCAGCGAACACCCACTCGACGCAGTTACAATCCCCGTTATACCGCCTACCTCGAGAACTCCGCGACGAAATCTACGAATACTATGCAGATGGCAGGCGATCGTACGAGTACAACAAGGACACGCAAAAGCTGCGCTACCGGGATACAGCTGCGCGCGTAGAAAACCTTGGTTTGATAGTGACTTGTAAGATCGCGGCGGAAGAGATGAAAAGGGTAGCCTTCCAGAAAGCGGAGTTTAGCACACGATGCTCTGCGTACGACATTTCAGAGTTCATGGGCCTACGCTCAAGAGTCGCTCGACTCCACATCTGTAAGTTTTGCATTATGTTATAACAAGGCTGCGCTAATTCCAATCTGCTCTTTAGTGACGACTCTTGTTCAAACACAGCGACAACGCATGTTGGTCTGTGTGACCGAATTGCTACAAGCTTCCGACTTCGTCGACATCGAAGCGCGTTATCCAAACATGGGACTATATTTCGGTGACTTGCTACCGCAAGCCATTGCTGAGCAACGCGATAAGTTCGGAGTTTGGATGGGGTCGATACGCGTAAATCACGTTGCCCATCAAGCATGTATCGATGCGCTACTGTTCGCCCTACATCGTGCTCACTCTCGTAGCCCGGAAAGGTTCGCGCAGCTCACAGGTAGGGTCTTTGGCAAAGGCAATTGTCCTGTGGGGCTCTGGAGGGATCAGAACAATATTTTCAACCAAGGCTCGTTGATCGAACTGCTCTTATGGAGACCTGACCCATGGTTACTACCCCAAGACGAAGATCTATCGCGTATGGAAACTCTTCTCTGCAAGCAAAGCGACCCTAGACCACCTCGTGCGATCGATTTTGAGCTCTGTCACCGTTCCATGGAAAACATCAGGTGCTACTTCTCTGCTGCAGCTGTAGCGATCCACTACTGTACGTAACCGTCTTTTCCCCTTTGTTTCAGAATACCTGCGCACCAATGCTTTCACCAGGCAGTTTGAGTCAAATACAGCATTGTGATCGCATCTAAACGCAGTCATGAGACCTTTTGCTAACTTATCTTGTAGTACATAGCCTACCACCAAAGCAATGGCTCAACCTCCGGAAGATCATCCTGTACGAGGACCGCAAGTCTCTGCTTCGTCCCGCATGTCATGCACGTGGACTCATTGGTTTCTGCAAGAGCAATTCGTCTTTACGCGTGGAGCACAACATCGGACTATTGAGCAATCTGCTCCCGGAGTCTACAGATTTGGGAATCGACGATCGATTCATACTTGGATCCACTTGCCTGGGAGTAACAGTCCCATGGATAGAGGAGGCTCTATCTTTGGCTGCCAGTGGTATAACTACCAATGCCTACCGACTCATCATCGACGGCAGTACAACAAAGGCAGTGCAAACTTTCAGGCTCTTGAAGTATGCCGCAGCAATGCAAGAAGCCATGCTCACCCAAGCAGAGCGTAACAATTTGCAGCCTACACCATGGGTCCGTTCGGGTTACGGCCAAGTCACCTCACTACCATGGCACTTACCCGCAGGTTTTCCGAACGTAATCCGCGCAATCATGAATGGCACGTCGAACATCCAGTTTACAGGCCCCGTAGGCGACCTGTGGGACTCAGATCTCATGTTCTTTGAGAGTCAAGACTGGACCATCGCAGATTGGCGGAACGAATGGAAGGAGAAGATTGTACTGTGCGGACCAGAAACCACCTTCTATGAGGACACACAAAAGTGGTACGAGCTCTAGTCGTGCGAGTTGAACGAGAGCCCTACCTAGTGTTGAGGTCTACAACACCGAATTTGCGAGCAGATGGCCAGTGTGCGGGTCTGACATGCGTCTTCGCCGATTGAATACAGAACACATAGCAATAGGATAGACTGGCTTAGTACGCCGTTACATTCTATGGTGTTTGGTTACGTGTTGTAAGATGTATGAGGTGTCTAAATAGAACCGGCAGCCCTCCGTAACTTCTGCCATCCAAATCCATATCGTCCCTCATCTACAACCTCGCTACCTCCCTCCCCTCCAACAGCCCCTCGATAGTCTCTCTCCACACCTCCGCCGCCTCAGCACTAATAGAGTTGAGATCATAGCTAACGCCGAACCCCACAATCCCCTCCGCACTAGTCGAGCTGCCCACCAAAAACTCGTCCTCCCTCGCTCTAACCCCAATCTTCACATCGCGGAAATCAGCCGCAAAGTCCTTGTCCCCCAAATTCTGAACGTCGTACGTCCCGCGCTTGAAGAACGCAGCTAAAGGCCCGATGGACGAGACGCCGCATGTAGCGCCGAAGCCTGCTGTGCTAGGTGCTAGAGAGCCTTGTGGATTTTGGAAAGAAGGTGAGCGACGCGAGGGCGGGAGTTTCGCTTCGACGCGTTCGATTTGCGCGACGTAGCCTGTTGCGAGGAGACGGCCTGGTGAGCCTTTGTCTAGAATACCTGCTGTACCTGTCTTTCCTTTTCCTTTGAGACGTTTCTGGTAGACACGTAACTCGCGGTTCGCGTGCTTCGCTACGAGCTTGAAGCGTCCTTCTACGGGTAGATCGGAGGATAAGAAGGGCATTACTATGCCTTCGCTAAAGGCTAGCATGCATGAGTCAGGCGGTGGTGGATTTACGAAGAAGGCGCGGGGGTTTAGCGGGAAGGAGGCTGTGAATGGTGGGTGGTTGGTGGATGGAGACCGTTTTTCGTGGATGGCCATCATTGCTAGGCCGGCGAGAGCGAAACACCCAGCTCCTATACTGACGTTTGCGGAGCGGCATAGGGATATCAGACGTGCTGAGGCGGCGGGCGATAGGGATGCGGATACATGACCACAGGACATTGGAGGGCGAGTCGAAGGGCTATAGTCGAATATCTTGTTGAACTTGGGTTCGAGTGGTACTGGCTCCTCTAACCTCTTCTCTCTCCGCAGCGGATTCGTAAAGGTGGGTGGTAGTCCTCCCTTCTTCACGTGCCGCAACACTCTGATGAGCGCCCAGAACCAGCGCTGTCTCGCTTTATTGCCCGCAATTGGTGGGTATAAGTCTTCCTGGGCGGCTGGCAAGAATTTTCTGATCTTTTCTGGCATACGGAGGGACTCGATGTCTGCTAAGATATCCTGGGATGGTTGGTTGAAGATGCGAATGAAATGGCTGAACCAGCTGTAAGCCGAGAGACCATCGGAAATTTGATGCGCAATCACGATGAGGAAGCGTAGCTCATATGTTCCGTCTGGAAGTTGTCGCAAAGGTAAGACATGGAACTTTGATAGGCACTTCGTGGGTTCAATGATGCGAGTTACGTTGTAGGCGTGGTGGTACAGCTCTTTTTCGTCGACGTTCTCATACGCTTCTTCGATCCAAACGATACTCTTCTCGACTTCTTGAATGGCAGAATCTCGAGAGCTGGGTACATCCACGGCAAAACCTCGTCTTCCTATTTCTGGATCATCGGTCACTCGAGACAGGAGTAAAGGGTGCTGGAGGCGAAGAGAAGTCCAGGCAAGCGCTATCTTGCGCCTCAGCTCTGATTTTGAGAGCTTGTGTTGGACGGCTAATGTGAAAAGGGCAGTCATGTCTGTTGCACAGTCAGTCGCGTTTCAGCCATGCTCAATATGACGAGTGGACATCTCTTTGGACCATCAAGAAACGAGTATAAAATATTCCGAAGATCCTACACACCTGCCCGGCCACCATAATACGCGCCATCCGAGTCAAAAGAAGTCTCTACTAGCCCAAGCGGTCGCTTGAACAGCTGGGTGCCATCTGCATCTTCTGACAGCTTCCACTCAGCATAATTTGATGCGTATTTGTCCAACCAGTGGCTCTGCTCTTGCTCTTGTGGTGTCATGACACTTTTTTTTGGCGTGCAATTCCAGGAAGATGGAGGTCATGCAAATTCTTTCGCTACTTCTTGGTGCGAGCAATTGGAAGCCCGAGCGTATGTCAACAATGAAGAGAGTGTATCAAAAGGATAACATATGTACAGATTGAAAAGCGATAGAGTTAGAAGGCGGAGTCGGAATGACCGTTAGATTGTGAGATGAGCGGGTCGGCCAGGTCCGCTCGAGTCATGGACGTTAGTCGCTAAGATGCCGTCATTGCCACGACGATCAGTTGATAGGACCTCACACTCTGATCGCATACGCTGTTGTACGTTGACATGCTGCAACACATTAATACTGTTCATTCTCGAGGGAGCATGCAGTATAATAAACCTGAAAATGATGAAGCTCCTTTCTACGGCGCCGTGTATGTTCCTTCACGGACTGGGTATCGCCAACGCAACAATTTGATCAACCACCCCATCCCACCAGTCTTCTACACTACATCCTCCATCTCGTCCTCGCCCTCCGAGTCGCCATCACCCGGACCCTCTGGCGCAGCTGCCTCAGCTTGCTTACTAGTATCGCGTTGGTTGTCGAAGACGGCCTGCCGCTTCCAGTTGCTTGCAAAGGGCCCAGACTTGACAAGCAGCGCAATGTCGCCGAGCACCTCCTTGAGATACTGCTCTGGTTGTTTTGTGCGCTGTTTGATAGCCTTCATCGGCCAGTACTGGTATTCGTCGAACAGCTGGTGCAGTACGTCGATGAGGTCGGAACGAGCCATACGAGCCGCCTTGTTCTGCTGTGACTTGGCCTTGGTCGTGGGCTTGATGAAGTTCTTGAAGCGGTTGTTGAGGGTGATGGAGTTGTTGACGTCAGAGACTTCGGTGTCTTTCGTGATGATGGTGGTGGTGTAGGAGCCTTGAATGGCTTGCTTGATGCGCGCGGCGCTGAAGTCCTTGAACTCTTTGGTTTCGAGAGGATTCGCGTTATACTGCCGTGTCGCATGGCCGACGAGGGCAGTCTGTTTGGGGATCGCCTTCTTGTACTTGCTCCGTTTTTGGATGCGCGCATTCGGATCTTGTACACCACCACCATAGCCTCCGTGGCCTCTCCCATAGCCGAAGCCTTGTCCCTTGAACCCTGGCAGATCCTTCTCTGTAAAGATGTATGTGTTGCCCAGCTGCGCTTCGGAAGCGGCTGCAGGATCGAGCTGGAAGGCGGAGGGTAAGTTGGACTTTGCGCGCCAACGATCGTCGAGGAAGACGCGCATAGGCTTGTCCTTGTCGATGCCGCTCGTCGTCGCGAATGCGAGGACTTCGCCGATCTGTATCTGATCGTTGTCGTTGCCGTCAGCGACGTTTTCCCATTTGGACACTGCCTCGTAGAGCCAGTCTGGAATACGCGTGAGCCAGACATCCTGTTGAGGATTGTCCTTATTGATGCTCATCTCGCCGGTGTCCTCGTAGAAGTCATCGTCCATGAAACCTATGTCGCCTTCCGCCTTGATTCCAGCTTCTGTCTTGATGCCGTTCATGGGAGCGAGTGTGTGTGTGTTGTTGCCTGGGGTGAGTTGGTAGAGATGATGAAAGATCGACTGACTGGGGCGCGCTCTTCCCCGACGCGCTTCCGCACTAGCGTGCCAAGCCCTTATCGATAATGCAGCTCTGGAGAGGTCGCGCTTGCCCCACGTCTGCTGCCTATCAACAACCAACAGGTACGACCGACTCTCGTTTGCAGCTACGAAGTGATCCTTTTGTCCTCGCCATTAGTTTTCTTATACCTTCTCAGGTCGAGTCCTAAACTTCTTCTCAATCAATCCAGCTCATCCAAACCCCCAACAATGGCTTCACAAGCTGTCACCTCGGCTCTACAGCAGATTGAGGCGGCACCGGCCAGCGAAAAGCCCTCTCAGTACACTGCTCTCCTCCAACAGATCATAGATTCATCCGCCAATGTCGCCGCCGATCTGAACGCATACGCACAAACTCTCCTCGATGACTCGCTCGGCATAGTCGTTCTGCGGCCACTCCTCGCTGCTTTCGTAGATGCGTTCCGGACGGTCAAGGACCCCGAAGCCAGGATTGAAGTTGGAGAGAAGGTCATCACACTGCTACAGTCCAAGGGCGCGGGCCAGTATGAGGAGCAGGACACTCAGATCAAGCATGCTCTGGCGGATGCGTTCGAACAGAACGAGGACTTCAGACGGTCAGCCCAGACGCTCGCGACCATAAACCTTGAGTCAACACAAAAGTCTGTCTCCGCGGATGACAAGGCGCAGGTCTGGATCCGGATAGTGCGGTGTTACCTCGAGGAAGACGATCCGACGAGCGCCTTCACACATCTGAACAAGATCAAGAACATCATCTTCAACGTACAAGACAAGACCACCAAGGTCATGTTCCAATTGAGTCAATCCCGCATTCTCGACTCCCAACGGTCCTTCCTTGATGCTGCCCAGGGATACTACACCTTGAGTAACGAGCCAGTTGTCGACTCTGAAGAGCGCGACAACTTTCTTGGGAAAGCAATTATCTGTGCAGTCCTCGCTCCTGCTGGTCCGCAACGAGGTAAGATGTTAGCCAAGCTGTACAAGGACGACCGAGCCAGCTCCGCCGACGACTACGCCATCCTCGAGAAGATCTTCCTGAACCGTCTCCTCACACCTGCCGAGATCAACGCCTTCTCCGCCAAGCTCGAACCTCACCATCTCGCCCGGGCCGCTGATGGCTTGACAGTGCTCGACAAGGCTATCCTGGAACACAACTTGCTCGGCGCATCGAAGCTCTACAACAACATCGGATTTGATCAGCTGGGTGAACTACTGGGCATCGACGCTGAGAAGGCCGAGGACTACGCGGCAAAGATGTTGGAGCAAGGCCGACTTGCCGGTTACATCGACCAGATTGACCGATATGTCTTCTTCGAGGGCGAGGCCAGTGGCGAGCGCAAGACGGGACACGCAGAGCGCGTTGTTGGAAAGGAGCTACGGAAGTGGGATGCCAACGTCACAGGCCTAGCAGAGGAGGTGGAGAAGGTCACCTCGATGATCCAGAACCAATATCCCGACTTCTATGCAGCGCAGGTGGTGCACTAGTCTCGGGTCGATATTACCAGCAGCGATGATGAGTAGGCAAAGCATAAACGGCGTCCGGGATCGCATATACCCAATGTACACTTAGACATGAATACGAGCATGATATCGTACTCCCATTCCTGAGATATCGCATTCACGTAACAGCCCCGAGGCTGACATGCTCGTGTTATCGGTACATATTGTTGGTTACTAGAACCCTCATCACGTGCCCCATTCCCACGCTAGGCCTGATTGGGCCTAGCTCCTTCACTCTCTCTCTCCCTCTGTGTATATAATCCCCCACACATAGAGCATTAATACATCACCTTTCTGATCACTCTCTACTCGTTCAACTCATATGATACATTCAAAGACGCATGCCGCCTCTCGACGCCACCACTATTGTACACTCTCCTTACCCTCTTGCCCCAACACAGCCTCATACTCCTCCAGACTCTTAACCTCCAAATCACTAATTTTCAAGACTGTGAAGTACTGTTTGCTCATAACATGCTTGACATGTCTCCGTCTCCTCTTGGTCTTCTCCTCCACCCTCAACGGCTCAGTCTCCACACCTACAACCCGCGCTCTGCATGTGAATAACCGCTCGTCCAGATAGAACACCTTCTTCCCACGATCCGCATTTCCCTTAACGGGCTCTGGGGCTTTTAACGTGTAGTCGCGCGATCCAATGTGTGTAGCGCGGTTCAGACGCAGAACATCGCCTGGTCGTACATGTGGCATTTGGAAGGGGAGGCGAAGCGTATCTCCGCGAGTGAGAAGATATGGGCGGCCATGTAGATGTGCGGTTATGTAATGTGCGGGCTGCGATTGTAGGAGGGGGAGGAGCTTGCGGATGGAGGGTGTGAGGGTCTGCGAGAGGATGTCTGAGCGGGCGTTTGGTGAGGCTTTGATGTCGTTTGTGGAAGCGGGGGCTGGGGCGTCTTTAGGGAGAGGCTGTGGTGTTTGAGCGCGCTCTTTGGCCTCGTCTGATATGCGGTGGCCGGATTGCATGAGCGGTTCGGGCGTATTCGATGTGTCGAGGTTGTGCGATACGGTTGTTATGCCTGCGCGGCGGATCGTTGGTTGGATGATCGCTCTAGATTCGAAGAGCGCATGGCGTGCAGAGCGGGCGAATAGAGCCATTACTGGGGTTTGTGGGATGCAATGGCTGGGGTGGCTGCTGGATTCAGTATCTTTGGTGTTGCGGGAGTCCGATGTTGAAGAATCCCGCATCGCGCTAGTGGGGGCTAGTGCCGAACTTTTTGGAGGCAAGGCGCCTGGTGGAAGACTCCACTCCACTACCACCACCCTTACAGCATACACAGAGGTAGTCGCCGTCGCCATGCCTCAGAACGAGTATATCGAGCGCTTTACGAAGCAGTACGTCGCACCGATCCTACATCTCGCATCTCGCACCTCGCATCGCCTACCTCAGCACCAATCCTGCGTCGCGATTTGCGCTTTGCGCTCACATCTCAACACCAAGAACACATAACTAACTCTTACCAGGCATGGAAAGCGCTTCGATCATGACGAACGTCAACGGAAAAAGATTGCCCGTGAAGGGCACAATGCCTCGAAGAAGGCGCAAAACTTCCGTGGCCTGAGGGCTAAGTTGTACGCTGAGAAGCGTCGCAAGGAGAAGATTCAGATGAAGCAGAAGATCCGCGCACACGAGGAGAGGAGTAGGTGTTCCTGTACACACTGGCTTGAGGCATACACTGACATCTTTCAGACGTCAAATCCAACGAGGCACCCGAACCTGCCACCGACGCCCTGCCCGCCTACCTCCTAGACCGTAGCAACGAGAAGAACGCAAAAGCCCTATCCTCAGCAATCAAACAGAAGCGTAACGAGAAGGCCGCTCGGTTCTCCGTCCCCCTACCCAAAGTCAAGGGTATCTCTGAGGAAGAGATGTTCTCAGTCGTCAAGACCGGAAAGAAGACTAAGAAGAAGAGCTGGAAGCGTATGATCACCAAACCCACATTCGTCGGACCAGGTTTCACCCGTCGCCCCGTCAAATACGAGCGCTTCATCAGGCCTATGGGTCTGCGTTACAAGAAGGCCAACGTGACGCATCCTGAGCTGAACGTCACGGTTCAATTGCCGATTATTTCAGTAAAGAAGAACCCCCAACAGGTAAGTTCTGACTGTACGAAGTGCATGTGAGACATATACTGACTTCTCAGCCCATGTACACGCAGCTCGGTGTGCTCACGAAAGGCACAATCATCGAAGTTAATGTGTAAGCTGGTCGCTCTGTATACATGTGCAGGTTACTAATGCCTCTTCAGGTCTGAACTCGGTCTTGTAACCGCTGGAGGCAAGGTAGTCTGGGGTCGCTACGCGCAAATTACCAGTGAGTTATGACTGTATGAGTGCATGTGAGACGTATGCTGACTTCGTCCCTCTAAGACAACCCCGAGAATGACGGTTGCTTGAACGCTGTTCTGCTCGTCTAAGCTTGTCGTATAAAACAGGGACGAACCGTGAACAATGCATTTGATGGCGTTATGTGGGTCAAACAGCAAAATCGAATTCCAAGGCGTTGCGGCGATTACGAGAGAACGGGATTTGCTAGGCACGGAATGTGGCAAGGCTGGCCGATGATGCAACTGAGCATGTATATCTTGGAGGACTTTTAGCTAGCAAAGAAAAAGAGTAATGATACCACATTGATCAAGCTGTTGTGCATTCATCGAACTCAGAAGTCTGTCGTCAGATTTTTGTGGAGGAAGTTAAACTACAACACGAGTTTAAGATGCTGGTGGTAATTACGATGCTAGATTAAATACCCAATCCGTGACCGCCCAATCCGTGGTATCTTCCCAGTCGATCCATCTCCGCATAAAGACAAAAACGCCAAAAGATTCTTTCCCACCCAAGATACCAAATAGCTGGTTCACATCTACAAAGCGACGTTATACGATAACGTCACTCAAATCCACATGCCTTCTCCTTCTAGCCACATCCCCTGCTAGAGCCCTTCCATCGCTGTCCAGCGCCTCATCACCCGCCCAATCCACGACAATCTCATCGCGGATCTCGTCATCGAAACTACCCCTCCTCCCCGTCTTATCCGCCCAGCCCGTACGTTCAAGCTCGATGATGCCACCAAATCGCCTCTCTCCATTCGCAATGAAAAGAGACTGGCCATCAGGCGTAAACGACACACCACCCGCAGGGCCGAAGAAATCGAACGTTTGCTTCGACTCCCACGTCTGCGCATTGATGATGTTGATGAAGTCATCTGCTTCGGCGGCAACGAGAACACGCGGGCCGGAGCCGATGGGCGAGAAGTGGAGGGAACGCGGGACGCTGAGTTCGCTCTTCATGACGGCGAGCGGCTTCTCCCAGTAGCGCGCGTCCCAGACGACGATGGTGGAATCCTGCGCGGCGGTCGCGACGTGGATGCCGTCGTCGGCCCAGGCACAGGCGAAGGCGTCGTCTGTGTGCGAGTTTAGCGTTTCGAAGGGCTGGCCGGTTTCTGCGTTTGTGATGAGAGTTTCTTGGAAATCGCCGACGACGACGCGCATGCGTCCATTTGGACTGGTAGCCGAGCAGTTGACGGCTGCGGGGTAGAGGAACGAGTAGACGAAGGTGTTGGTGCCGCAGTCGAGCACACGGAGCCGGTGGTCGTTGGAACAGAGGACGGCTTGTGGGGTGTAGGTTCGCCGTGAGGGGAAGAGGTGCATGTGATTAACTATGCGTGATTTTGTGTCGGTCGCAAAGTCGGTGGTGCGGCCGAACGTGCAGGGCGAGCCGTGGGTTGAGGAGAGATTGGTGATGGCGTACTCGCCTTCGAAAGCACCAGCGATGAGTACGTCGCCGTGGGAAGCGATAGTGGTAATCGATGCATCGAGAGCCAGGTGTTTGTTGAGGTCAACGACGGCGTCTTCGGATGTGCCTTCTGCGTCTGTGTGGAGTACTTGGTGACCTTTTGCATAGTAAATATCATTGCGAGATTTGGCCGTCAGAACATTCCGCAGCTGGAAGTGAGGCACAAAGGCACGGGGGCTGGTGTTGATCCTTCGGAACTGGAAGAAGCTGTCCGTGTTGGGTGTTGAATGGACGTGCTAAGAGAGGTTAGCCAAAGATATAGATCATATATGTGAAGCTCATTTCTGTGCCATAGCTATACTACACCCTGGAGAGATGTTATATCTTGTTCCTCATTCGGGCTTGTAGAACGCAGTATTCTCTTCAGGGTGTGGAGTAGCTGGAGCAAGAAAACGCTTCTTCGTACTATGCATACCTTGCGAACCTGCTTCACACAATGAGGCACCCGCTGACGCTCATGTTGCGACCTTGCTCTCCGTACCGAAGCCCTAGTAGTCTTCCGGGCGGTCCAATCAATTCCCTGGTAATCATACTCATCACCCTTGAGATCTTCTCGGGTAATGAAATCCGGCAGCTGGATGAGATCCAGACCAGGCACAACACCGGGCTTCCACTGCCCGTAGAAGCGGTGGAAGTAGGACGTAATGGGGCAAAAGGCCGCCCGGTCCTGTATGCTCAGGTGCGGTTCGTTAAGTGTTGGCGGTGGCTCAAGTAACAGGTCAGTACCGTATGGCAGGTTGCCTGCTATGGTGACCGGCGCAATGAAGTGTGTAGTGGATGTGTGGTGTTGAGGTATGCTGGAGCCTGCAAACATGTCGAAAGCGTTGTATGTGACATAGGATGGATGGATTGGCCCGAAGCCAAACATGTCTTCTATCGTGCCTCCCTCATCCAGCGAGGGGTCCCCATCGTCGCTGTTTGCTCCTGCCTGATGCGACTCGGGCATGGCTTCCATGAAATGCTGGTAGTCCTCTAGCGATATCCCCCCACCATCGTCATCGTCGTCGCCGTCGTCCTCGTCGTCATCGGGCGGTCTGTTGTCAGAGAGGGTCGCTAGCGTCACAGCAGCAGCCAGTGCGCTGGGTGAGTGCGGCCAGTCTCCAGCGGGCGGGTGGGCGTGCGGCGGCGTTGTGGGATGTGTGGTGGAGTGTGGCGCGGGCCAGTTGTGCATGCTGGCCATCGACGCCCGCTATCCGCCTGATAGCCAGTGCAGCGGGGCCGCCGAGGCAGGTTCTTGGGGCAGTTGCGTCTGCGACGAAATGGTCGGCTGGTGTAGTTGTAGAGAGGCGTTGGGGCGCAAGGTATAGGCTTGTCTGGCGTGGGGGAGGCGACTAGGCCGAAGCATAGGCTCAGGCAGAATGCAGCAGTCAAGTCCAGGGCCCAGGGGCTGACTGGCTAGGCTCTTCGCTTCGCAGGCTGACTGGGTCGCGTTCGGCGCTCGACCTGGCTATCCAGGCGCTGCATGCGACAGAGGTACGTCCAGGCTAATTGTGGGGTTGCTTCTGGCAAGTCACAGTCGGGTATTGGCTGCGGGAGAGTTGGGCTGGGCTGCAGGGCAGGGCAGGGTGACGGTCATGAATATGGCTATGCGCGTCGGGACGGCTTCTGAAGCTCCAATGCCGTCAGATATATATCCCACGCTCCACGTCGTCGAATATTCCCATCGAGCCCTCCTCCGCGGGCCCTCTAGTCTGAACACGGGGGGATCGGACAGCCCACCCCCAAGCCTGGCTAGCGACTCCACCATCTCTCAGATCTCCAGACGTTAGATCTGTGTATTCACGCTGCTCGACTCCACGCTGTCACCAAGCGCTCAGGGTTAAGCGGCTGCGGCGTGTCCACGCACCGTGATACAACTCACATGGCACTGCCAACACGACAACCTTCTGGAGCCAAGGCCCCGCGACGAGAATGCAGTGGCCACCCACCATTACACACCCACGTCCACATCTGCTCTTGTCAGGCCTCTTTTGGGACACAGACAGCACACCAGCTTCGCTAAGCGCATCTTCTGGGTGACGTGCTGAGCGCCGGCCCACGGTTGCACGGCTATTTCGTGGAGCAAATCAGACGTCGGTTCCCACCGCGCCTCCCCAGACTGTGGCTCGAACGCCGTTTTTGTCTCCCCTTGCCGTTCTGCCTGTGGACAACGGTGCTGGCACTCCACGACAGCACGCCACAGATCGCTCCAGCGAAACTCGAACCACCCTGCGGGCGCGCTGGGCGCACAGGGCGGATCTTGAGACTGCAAAACAGCACAGGAACACTGATGCGAGGTCATTCATCAAAGTGGTATTTCAGCATCGGTATGCCGTGTCTCGCGAGAGCTGACGACATGCCGTAAGAATGTATTACTAGTGCGAGGTGCCTACGTGACCCCGACGGCGAAGTGGAAATTCTATGATCTCATAAACGATGACAGAAATGGCCTGCTAAAACGAACACCCCAGGAATGCCGCAAATCATGTAGTACATATGCAGTCCGCTCCTACGCGACGCCTCATTGCGAAATCAATTATCATAGTACTGATCGTATCCCTGCTGCTGTTGCTGCGGTGGCCATCCGCCAGCCGATGTCGCCGCTGGTGTCTTGAGTCTTCGTTCTGTTGGTGCCCAACGTCAGTGACTGCATTATCGCGAGAAGTTGTGTTCCTTACCTGCTTCAAAGTCATGCCACCTGCGCATCGTGATCTTGCTGCTGTCGAACTCTCCCTCATACTCCAGTCCTGCCTTCTTCGTCTTCTCGCCCGCCGTCTTTCGAGTATCTCCCCAGCTGAAGTCGTCAAACTTCCAGAAGGCATACGTCGGAAGCACAAAATTCCAAACAGGCAGTGACAGCAGATAGACGAACATCCAGGCGACGTAAGACCATCGATGAGCCGTTACGATGATAAGAACCGCGGGTAAACCAAGAATGAGCGCTAGCAGGATGAGGGGTATTACAGGAGCTTCGGTGTGGAGGATGGCGGCTTTGATAGCGATAGCGACTGGACGTGGTCAGCAAAGCCAGGATTTCAAGATGGGGTACGGGGGCTTACTTAGGTAGAAGGTAAAGGCAATGGCGGCCGGGAGGACCAGGGTTCCGATCAACTCGATGAACACAACGAACTGCATGCTGAAGCAGAAGGTGCCACACAGATCTCGCACTAGCACAAGCTCCATCAGGTTGTGGACCGTACTATTAATCCATCGTCTGCGCTGTGACAGCAAGACTTTGAACTCGTCCGGTACAGTGGTTTTGCAAACGGCTTGCGGCACAAAAACCTGTTTCCGCTTGGGGAACGTCTTGAGCATAAGCGTCGACAGATAACGATCTTCACCTAGTAGTAGCAGATTCTTCTTGTGCAACGTATCGACCACGTTCTCCGAATAGTGCTCGACGACGTCAGGGTTAGCCAGGATCGGGACCCAGTAGTTCTGACCGCCCTTGGGAGCCTTGATGCGGTACATGCAGAAACAACCGGGCAAGCAAGTGACACCACCAAAGACCGACTCGAATGACTTTGCCAAGTGGTGGGAGATGAAGTATCTAGTATGATTAGTGGCGCGATTGTCAGACATGGCAAATGCACTTACTCAAACACCTGGATCATGGAGACCCACGAATCCCGCTTATTGGCAA